TGCCTTAATAGGTATTTATTTGAGCATTAGGTCTTGTTATTACTTTTTGATCTGTGATATTATTATTGAATTTATAATCTTTTTTTCTCTGTTGAGTAGGTCTTATGACTTACTTCCGTGAAGCAACTGTACATACACAAGAGCTTCTAGATCTGCTTGTTAAATGTGAAAATAAAATTCAAACTCGTATCAAGATTGGACTGAATTCAAAAATGCCTAGCAGGTATGGTTGTTTTTTAATCAATCTCTCTCTCCATTTCTTCTCTCTCTTCTTTGCTGTCATAATAATTTTTTAACATACTACCATGCTTTCAGATTCCCTCCTGTCATTTTTTACACACCTAAAGAAATTGGGGGACTTGGTATGTTATCAATGGGTCACATATTGATTCCTCAGAGTGACCTCCGATACAGTCAGCAGACTGATGTTGGTGTAACTCACTTTAGGAGTGGAATGAGTCATGAAGAGGACCAGCTGATTCCAAACCTTTATCGTTACATACAGGTAAAGGCAATTGCACTTTTTTACATGTTTTTCTTTTTCTAGTCTTGTTTCATTGTTTGATCATCTTAATGATTTTTAACAGCCATGGGAGAGTGAGTTCATAGACTCACAGCGCGTTTGGGCAGAGTATGCCCTAAAGAGGCAGGAAGCTCAGGCACAAAATAGGCGCCTAACCCTTGAGGATTTGGAAGTGAGTTTCCTTCTTTTTCATTTTCTTAACCATTGTGATTGTTGTTTTCTAATGGCATTTTCTCTTTGGCATTTTCCTCTTGTTACAATTTTTCATATGATTGTTCTTCTAATCATTTATGTGTTCAGTGAGATTTTTGCAACATATGATTTATCTGTCACAAGGAAATTGTGTGCTGATGATATTCTTCCTGATTTATTAACAGGATTCTTGGGATAGGGGAATACCGCGTATTAATACTTTGTTTCAGAAGGACAGGCACACTTTAGCATATGACAAAGGATGGAGAGTACGTACAGACTTTAAGCAGTACCAAGTTTTGAAGCAGAACCCATTCTGGTGGACTCACCAAAGGCATGATGGCAAATTGTGGAACTTGAATAACTATCGAACTGATGTCATCCAAGCTCTGGGAGGTGTTGAGGGGATTCTGGAGCATACCTTGTTTAAAGGAACATAGTAAGTACTTGTTTAGTTATATATTTCATAGATCACTTATCCAATTACCTTGATTATTAATGATTTGGATTTTTCATATCTTATTCTATGTTTTCTTTTATTCCTGAAATTACAGCTTTCCAACTTGGGAGGGTCTGTTTTGGGAAAAGGCTTCTGGCTTTGAGGAGTCAATGAAGTATAAGAAGCTCACTAATGCTCAGAGATCTGGTCTTAATCAGATTCCTAACCGTAGGTTTACCCTTTGGTGGTCACCTACAATCAATCGGGCTAATGTTTACGTGGGTTTTCAAGTGCAACTAGATCTAACTGGAATTTTCATGCATGGGAAGATACCAACCTTGAAAATATCTTTGATTCAGATCTTCCGTGCCCATTTGTGGCAAAAAATTCATGAGAGTGTGGTTATGGATCTTTGCCAAGTCTTAGATCAGGAGTTGGATGCTTTGGAAATTGAAACTGTTCAGAAGGAGACAATCCATCCGAGGAAGAGTTACAAGATGAACAGCTCTTGTGCAGATATTCTTCTTTTTGCAGCTCATAGATGGCCTATGTCAAAGCCTAGTCTTGTGGCAGAGTCCAAGGACATGTTTGATCAAAAAGCAAGCAATAAATATTGGGTAGATGTACAGCTCCGGTGGGGAGATTATGACTCACATGATATTGAGCGTTACACTCGAGCCAAATTTATGGATTATACAACAGATAACATGTCTATTTATCCATCTCCTACTGGTAATTTTGCTTCTCATCCCCTATTCTTCCTACTTTGTTATATGCCTTTATTTTCTCTGGCCTGATTTGAGTATATGTTGTCTTTATAGGGGTGATGATTGGGCTTGATCTGGCTTACAACTTGCATTCTGCATTTGGTAACTGGTTCCCTGGATCGAAGCCACTGCTTGCCCAGGCAATGAATAAGATCATGAAGGTAACATAGTTTGATGATTTAATATAGGTGGATAGATACTTAATATAATTTATTATTCAGATGTTTGAAGTTACATTTGTTGTTAAATACCAGTATAGGTATAAATGTCAAGGGTTGAACTAATTTTTTTCTTATCCTTATACAGTCAAATCCAGCTTTATATGTTTTAAGGGAACGGATAAGGAAAGGTTTGCAGTTGTATTCTTCTGAGCCTACTGAGCCATATCTTTCATCCCAAAACTATGGAGAGATCTTCAGCAACCAGATCATTTGGTTTGTTGATGACACCAATGTGTATCGTGTGACAATCCATAAGACATTTGAAGGGAATCTCACAACAAAACCCATTAATGGTGCCATCTTTATATTCAATCCGCGTACTGGACAGTTGTTCCTAAAGGTTTGTTTCTTTATATGGCATTTCTTTTCTAAGCTAGTTTGTTCATTGTGAAGATCTCAACTGGATATCATTTTCCTCTTGCAGGTCATTCACACAAGTGTATGGGCAGGTCAAAAGCGTCTTGGCCAGCTTGCCAAGTGGAAAACTGCTGAAGAAGTAGCTGCCCTTGTGCGGTCTTTGCCTGTTGAAGAACAACCAAAGCAGATCATTGTTACTCGAAAGGGAATGCTTGATCCTTTGGAGGTTCACTTACTGGATTTCCCTAACATAGTTATCAAGGGAAGTGAGCTGCAACTACCATTCCAGGCTTGCTTGAAAATTGAGAAATTTGGTGATCTGATTTTGAAGGCTACGGAGCCACAAATGGTTTTATTCAACATCTATGATGACTGGTTGAAGAGTATCTCATCATACACTGCATTCTCCCGACTCATTCTGATCCTTCGTGCACTTCATGTAAACAATGAGAAGGCTAAGATGTTATTGAAACCTGACAAGACAATCGTTACTGAGCCACATCATATCTGGCCTTCTCTAACTGATGATCAATGGATGAAGGTAGGCATTATTGTTACTCATAATGCATTAGCCAATTACTTTTAGAGGCATACATCCTTCATTGCAATGCAGTATGCTAAAGATGATTTCATGATGCAGGTTGAAGTTGCTTTAAGAGATCTCATACTCTCTGACTATGCCAAAAAGAACAATGTGAACACATCGGCCCTGACCCAGTCTGAGATTCGTGACATTATTCTTGGAGCGGAGATTACCCCACCCTCTCAACAGAGGCAGCAGATAGCAGAGATTGAGAAACAGGTTATATTCTATTTTGCTTCTGTTTGTTTATGATTGCTAACTTAACAAGGCTTTATATTACTAAACTTTTGTTCTATTTATATATAAAAAAACATCTTACTAACTTTGAGCTATTTTTTTTTTCCTAACTTGTACTTTTCAGGCAAAGGAAGCTAGCCAGCTGACAGCTGTGACAACTAGGACTACCAATGTGCATGGTGATGAGCTCATTGTCACCACCACAAGTCCCTACGAGCAAGCAGCATTTGGGTCCAAGACAGATTGGCGTGTCAGAGCCATATCAGCTACAAATCTTTATCTTCGCGTCAATCATATATATGTGAACTCAGAGGACATAAAGGTACATATCTGACTTATTTGAGATCTATTATTGATCTTTAAGCTTATCTATCTGCTGACGTTGATCAAAATTAATGATGCAGGAAACTGGGTACACTTATATCATGCCAAAGAATATTTTAAAGAAGTTCATCTGCATAGCGGATCTACGGACTCAAATTGCTGGATACTTGTATGGAATAAGCCCTCCTGACAATCCTCAGGTTAAGGAAATTCGCTGCATAGCCATGCCACCACAGTGGGGTACTCATCAGCAAGTTCATCTTCCATCAACACTTCCTGAACATGATTTCTTGAATGATCTGGAGCCTTTGGGATGGATGCACACACAGCCAAATGAACTTCCTCAATTATCGCCACAGGTTTGTGTTTAATTTCAATGGAATATTTCAGTGTTGTAGTTTGTCCATTGCAAATCAAATGTTATAAACTAATTGTCTTATCATGCATTTATAATCACAGGATGTCACAGCCCATGCTCGGATTTTAGAGAACAACAAGCATTGGGATGGTGAGAAGTGCATTATCTTAACATGCAGTTTCACCCCAGGTTCTTGCTCATTAACAGCATACAAGCTTACCCCAAGTGGTTATGAGTGGGGACGGGTTAACAAAGACACTGGAAGCAATCCTCATGGTTACCTTCCAACTCATTATGAGAAGGTGCAGATGCTCCTAAGTGATCGGTTCCTTGGATTTTATATGGTAAGAATATCTTCATTGACAATTGTTCTTTAACTTCCCATCCTTCATATTCTTCTGGTCAAATTTTTACATCGTATCAAGTCTTGTTGTTCAGTGACTGGTAACAACAATGTTTATTTTGTTCTGCTTGTAGATTCCTGACAATGGTCCATGGAATTACAATTTCATGGGAGTGAAGCATACAGTTAGCATGAAATACGGGGTGAAACTTGGAACACCTAGAGAATACTACAATGAGGACCATAGGCCAACTCATTTCCTCGAGTTCAGCAACTTGGAGGAAGGTGAGACTGCAGAAGGAGATCGAGAGGATACATTTACCTAAATCAGTTCATGTTTACTATGTTTGTAGTTTGCTGTACCTTAGGTCCTATGAAAACACCTGCACTTTTTTCAATGGTGGCCCCAAAATATTATTAACAGAGGCCTAAACTTTTTATTTGGACAGTTGCATTTACTTCATCCCAATTGCAACAATGCTGAATTGAGTTGTAAATATATGAGCAAAGCATTTTGATTTTTAGCCTCAAAAAATTTCTTATCATTAGTTGCAACTTGCAATGCCCTGTTCTGTTACTCCTGGCTTTATGCATTGCGTAACGATAAAACGAGTATTGCCAACCAGCAACTTAATTGTTTTTATTTTCTCATTTCGAATGCCCATCTCACAAGCAGCAAACTAAGACTCAAAATGTCTGTAAATGCAACAGTTATCTGATTGAGACCAGAGATGTAACACCCAGCTGGCACCATTCATGTGAAAACAAGAACAACGGAAAAGTTGGCCCAAACATATCCCCTATATCACTCATAAAAACATGCTTCCATATTACAACGTGGCCGATATTGCTGGCAATTCTAATAATGGACGGCCGGTGCCAGTGCCACCTCTTAATGAACAGAAAAGAAAAAAAAATAATAACCAAAATATCGAAGATACAAATTTCACATCTATCACTTCAATTTGTTCAAGGCGTTAGCCATCTTGAGCATTTTCGTGCTCAGTCTCCTTCACCGGTTTTGGATCATCCTCTTCCTTAATTACGTCCGAACTCTCTTCAGCAGCCGATGTCCCATCATTGCAAACAGCAGACTGCGGGTTCTTGAACAGTTCATTATGTTCTAGTTGAGTTAATTTTTCTTTGGACTCTCCCTTGAGCAGCTCAAGAACTTCAAGCATGGTAGGTCTCTTCTCAGGCCGATTATCAGCACATACAAGTGCAACAAGGACAACCCTTTTCAAGTCATCTTCCACATACTTCCCATTCAGCCTTGGATCTGCCACTTCACTGATCTTCCCCTCACAAGCTAGTGGCAGAGCCCATTCAGCAATCGAGCGTTTTGATGTTGCATTCAGTTTCTCAAGAGGCTTCCTGCCACTAGCAATCTCTAGCAAAAGAATGCCAAAGCTGTACACATCACAACTCTCTGAGGCTTTTCCTAACATAGCATATTCGGGGGCAAGGTAACCAAGGGTACCCTTGACTCGAGTAGTCACATGTGTTGCACCATCAGGGATAAACTTAGCAAACCCGAAATCAGCAACCTGAGGCTGGAAATCTGAATCTAGCAACACATTACTAGCTTTGATATCCCTGTGAATTATATGTGGGGTTGAATGGTGGTGAAGATAGCTGATGCAATCAATTGAAAGAAGTTGAGGTTAGCATTCGTGTCAGAAAAGGTTACAAAAGGAAAGAAAACTAGGTCCAACACTTACGCAATGCCCTCAGCAGAGCCAATTGCAATGTTCATCCTTCTGGTCCAATCAAGAAGGCATTCCGCTGAATGCTGCCCATGAAGATGTGAAAGCAAACTCAAGTTGGGCATGTAGTCATATACAATCAGACGTTCTTGCCCTTCAGCACAGTAGCCTCGTAAACTCAGTAGATTCTTGTGTCGAACTCTTGCCAATATCTCCACCTCAACAGAAAATTCCACTTCTGCTTTGTTGCTCCACACCTTCAATCTCTTAACTGCTATCTGCAAGTTTATAACTTTCAGAATTAGAATGAAACTGAAATAAGAATCAAGCAGTAGAAAAACCTAAAGAATGTTATTTTGATTGTACAGAAATAAACATGGAATTCCAAAATTATTATCCAAATGGCGACCTACACATGCCATGTACATAGAGACATTCTTATATGCATGTATGTGTTTAGAGAAAGAGTGATGCTATTTTGAAGACCACAGAAGTCCAAAAATTCCATCAGGTACTGTGGTGACCCTTCAACCATTGATGAAACTGATGCATTCGACATGCAATAGATTTTTCCAGAAATTGAATGCTTCAATATTAGCTGGGTCCAGAGAAAAGGAAGGTACAACATCATAGACTGCGTTTTCAACTTTCCAATTGCAAATAAACAAGAATCTAACAAAGCATAATCCCAGTCAGCCCATGATCAATCATTATAGTATGTTATTTTATACTGCTATCAAAGCAAATCCCATCCTAGAGAAGTCTGAACTATAATTTCCATGAAGAGATGGATCTCGTAGCATATGAGAGAAACAGAAACCTCTTGTATGCTGCTAAAGCTCTAAATATTAGGGATTTGACCAAACAACAACAATAACAAACTAAGCCTTATATCCCATAACTCTGGGATTGGCTATATGAAAGGCTGAAAAAAGGAATCATGTTAGGTATAGTTTTTGACTAAACCATGAAGAAAAAAATGAAAGACATGATAACAAAAACAAAAGTAAAAAATAACCCTTGATGATATTCCTAGGTTCAAACTCTGACTTCAACTTTTAGAGCTCTGGTTCAAACCTATATAAGCATGATCAAGAATCTTATTTGAACCCCTCACGATAGCAGCAATAGAAATGTGAACATTTTGCTTTTGTTGAAACATTTTGGATCCTATAAATGATTTAAACTCTTTAAATTGCTATGCCACCCACAAATTTTCACCACGAAGGAAAAACAAATTGGCATTTACAGCATTCTTAATTGATAGAACTGGCAGAACATGATGAGTTTTAAAGTTTGCTGTCATCCTCTTTTGACCATTGACCTTTTAATCCCCGATGAATGCACTTCTGAGTTGAGCCTCAACAACAACCCCCCTAAGTATATTATATCTACCTCAACAAGTGAAGGAAGCTCTGCTCCAACAATCTTTGACTGCTGACATCACACCAGCAAAATAATAATAATAATAATAAAAACTTAACTACCATTTGTTTTTTTGCTTCTGCACCCACAAGTGCCCATAGCTATGAAGTGCTCATAATTCAACTCTTTATATATTTTCACATCGACAAATACTCAGTAACTGTCTTATTATTCTGTTTGTAAATAAAAAAATTCAAGTGATAAATCGTACACTTAGATCAAAATTATTTTAATTCAACTTAAGGTAATCCCAAATTTCTTTACAAGTATCAGGGTTATGATCTAACAAAACATTAATAAAAGCAAGAAGGAAACCTGAACACTAACCAAGTAAAAGATGGAAAGATCAATTAGGCAGATATTTGTGATTGCCATAAGATTTACAATACTAAGGAGGTCAATTACATTTCTTCTAGCCATATGCGTTTCTTTCCCATCTTTATAATCTACCAATAGGCCACTTGTCTCAGCTGCTCTATTGCCCATAGCACGAGGGTGTATTAAGTGCCATTGTTTCACATCATTGTGAATTGGGGTTTGTTGTGGCTTTAACAAGTTAGCCCTTTCACCTATTGCTGAACTGTTTCAGGTTGGAAGTTTTAACACATCAGACCTTATTAGTTATTACCAATCCTATAGGAACGAAACCCCTGCACCATTACTTCCACAGAATGACACCTTTTCTGCCTCATTAAATGGAATTTATATAAATATTGACCAGGAAAAATAACAGTAGCCAGACCAGGAATCAGTAAAATGCAGAGACGAACAATTTTCACAAATAGTAAACTAAATTCAAACTGAAGTAAGATGCAAGCTAGAGCATCCAATATTACCGAAGTTTTTGTCAGATCAACAACAGAATCTACTAACTCAAATTCCAAAAGAAGATCAATCATATATAAGGAAGAAAAGAAGTGAACCATACACAGGTACAACTCTGTATAACCAACCAATCTTTCAAAACTCAAAAAATCAGGGAAACATTGGATGCCACAACAGCAATTCACTTGTTAAAAGAAACCCAAAAACAGAAAAAAAAAAGATCATACCTGTGATCCATCCCATAGCTGACCCCAATAGACACTGCCAAATCCCCCTTCTCCGAGCTTGTTATCATAATTAAAGTTATTGGTAGCTGAATGCAATTCTTTTAATGAAAAAATCCTCCATGTCGGCTGCTTCTTTCCCTTCTCCTTCCTGTAGAATCATATAACTTTAGACATTAAAACCCGATGGACAGACACACTAAACAACATAAACAAATCAAATTAAAAAGAAAGAAAGAAAAAAAAAACCTCAATTTTACAGCCAAATGATCCTTTTCTTATAAGATGAATATCAACATATTCTTGTTAATTTGACACCAAAGTATGAAAATTTAAGCTTAAATGAAAAGAAGCTAGCTATATTAAGCTCAATTAAGTATCTTCTCTCTCAAATCGAAGTTCCAAAAGGAAAGAAAGTTCAAAACTTTAGATTATCTTCTTCTTCTTCCTTTCTCGGAAACCAAACATAAAAGTAGAAAGAAAAAAGAAATGAAATTCAATTCTAATCAACACCCAGCAGATAGTTTCAAAAACTAAATAAAACCCAGATTTCTTAAACCCTTACCATTCCTCAAAAATCCAAAACCAAAATTCACTTAAAAAACCCCAACAAAACCTTCCAAGAGAAATAATATCTGAGAACAAATAAAACAGTAATGATAGGTAGTAAATCAATGATAAACTTACCGATCCACGCCTTTCCCACAACAAATCATAGAGCGAAACGCCATTACCGAACCAAACTAAAAATCTAACTCCTTTTTTCTCTCTCTCTCAAAGGTTCACTTTCAAAGACTCTTTTTTTTTATCACTCTCTATACTTAGTTTTTTTGTCGTTCAACTTCAGTTTCCCTTTCTAAGCAGCAGGTTCTGATCGGATGCCAAAGGTAACGCTTGTGGGCAGTAAATTACCCCAAAAAAACATGCTTTCTTTCTGTGGTTTAGGGTTTTGCTTTTGATTACAAGAGAATGTTGCAGCGTCAGTAAAACAAAATGAAGATGAAGAAGAAATGAAGAGTAAGAAGAGCATAAGGCAAGTTGGGTTTTTTTTTTTTGTTTCCGCCTTATGGCTGCTGTGCTGTGGCTGGCTGTTCATTGGGTGGAGCTGTTGTCAGTTTTCAAAATTGCACCCACGTGGGTCCCATTTTCTAACATATTTTATTTTATTTAATTTTTTATTTTTTATTTTTGGTTTTATTTTTAACCTATTTTTTAAATCATCATCTTTATTTACTTAACTAATACGGTAAGGACATTTCGTCTTCATTTTTAACTAAACTCTTTTGATAAAAACATTCTTAAAATGTCTGTAACTTTTCAAAATCTTATTAAAATTCATCACAGCTAAACTATTCCAAAACTATGTACTGTCTGTTTCCACAATTGCATTCAAGTACTTATTCTTTTAATTAATTAAATTTTTAGACCTCTATTTTATCAATTAAATTTTTATTAAAAACATTATTATTTATTCATTCAATTGATGATTTAATTGAATAAACATAGATATTTGAGAATTTAATTAATTTTAAATAAAAAATTTAAAATTTAATTAATTGTAATAAAATATCAATAATTTAAATGATCATTAAATTTTTATTTAAAAAAAAAAAAGAATTGAAACAAAGGAGAAGAAGCTTTAGTTTCTTTGTTTGGACAGATATAAGATAGTGCCAAATGTTTTTCAATTCATAGAAATCAAACACGGTGATTTAGGCAGAGACAACATTAGATTAGGCTTCCGTGATTTGATTTGATTTCATTTCAGGTTGGTCTCAACTTTGAATTTCCGGATCATGCAGCTCATAAGCTCCAACTTTTTAATATAACATTAATTTTTTTGATTCGGAGTATATATTAGTGAAGATATTGCTTTTCCAATCATATTAAATTAATTTTTTTATTTGAAATCTTTCCTACTCTATAATCAATTTGAATCTCAATTAATTTAAAATCAAATCAAATCAAATCTCATTAAAAAATAAATTTTTTTAAGTTTATTTTTTTAATTCATAAAATTTAAAATCAAAATCTTACTTAAAAAATTTAAATTTTTTACTACTCAAACCAATAAACGTTATATAATTAATCAATTTTATTTTATAGTTTACTCCACCTTATACATATTCCTTAATATGTTTGAACTTCCAAACAACAGTAAAAATTTTGCTATTTTTATTCAACATTTTCAATTCCAAAAATGTTTGAGGAACCCCAAATGACTTATGTCGTAGTTAAGAGGTCAGGTTTACGGGTCATATAGAAAGTATTTAACAATAGTTAAAATAATATATAAATAAAAGTTTTTTAAATTAATAGTTAAAATTATTCACCTTTGATATTTTGGTGATGACTTGACATGTAGAGGTGAACTATTTTTTTTTTATTTTATTGCGGGGCATATATTAGTCCAAGAAATATCATATTTTATTTTAATTAAATAATAAAAAATAATTTTTAAATAATAAAATCTCATAATTGAGATAGCAGTGGGATTAAATTAAAACTCAAAAGCATCTACTTTGCTTTTTTTTATCTATATTGCTTTTAAACCTAAAATTATCATTCATTTAATGTTTTCGAAGATTTTAAAATTTAATTTAATTAATTTATATAATTATTTTTTAATAAAAATATTTAAAAATTAAAATTTAAATTTAAATACCTGCGAACATACGTAATTGTTAAAGAGAGTGTGTAATTTAGACAATGGGTTGGCATCAGCTGGGGATTGAGGTAGATCTTGTACTTGGTAATGTTAGGTTCCAAAAGAAAATGCAATAACAAATGTTGGATAAGATCTCAATAATTGCACAATAATTTGTTTTGGAAGATGAAATATAAATAATATCTAACAATCATTTTTTTTTTCAATAGTACCAACTGATCACTGAAACAAGTCAGGCTTGATTTAATGGCTATTTTATGCATCTATGTTTGTGTCAATGATCTTTTATTTAATTAGGTTGGTAATAATACAAGTCAATGATAAATAAATGTTTAGTCTTTTATTAAAGGTTAAAGATTATAATAATTTTAAATATGATATTGTAACTTAATATGAAAATAATATGATTTAAAATTTTTATAAAAATTTAAATAAATTTAATAAAATTAAAAATATATTTTATTTTTATATTAATATTATAATATATATTTTTATATAAAATATAATATAAATATATAAATTTTTAATATTTTATATAAAACAAATACACAAACTCTCGGACAGTAAAAATCTTTATTCAAACAATTTTGTACGTTTTAGCTATGACCAACAAATCTTTTATATAACCAACAAAAGAAATGTCTTTAAATTACAACAAATTGGTTTATGATTTTTTATTGGTTAAAATATTAAAAATGTCTTTTAAATTGTATAATTTTATTTAAATAAGTTTATATATTTAATTTAATTGTTTAAAAATAGTATCGACCAGCATTAGCTCAATTTGTAAAAAAAAAGAAACATTTTTTGTCAATTAAAAATTGATTTTTTCCAAAAAAATATTTTAAAAGTAAAATTGTGAATACACTGAATCATAAGAAAAGGAAATATATTTTAACACCGTCTTAAAAAAAATTTAAGATAAGATAAAATCTAAAAATAACACTAAAGATATTACAAAAAAAAAAGGAAATATAATAAATAACTAATAATTATTAATATTATACCTATAAATCTAATAATTTAAAACACAAGACAGTGACATAAAATGAATATATGTAAAAAATAATATGATTTAAACAATAATTATATTTAGATTTAACAAAATCAAAAAAATATATTTTATATTTTTATGTCGATACGAATTATAATACATAATTTTCAATTAAAATATGATATAAATATACAAATACATGAATTTCTAAATCTACCTAAATGTCAATTTAACACAATATAAAACATCCAACAGGGTAGGAATTTCTTGGGTTTTCTCCTAAGTTTAATAAACAATTGATGGAGCACGACAGGAGATGATAAAATCTTTTAAATATTATTCACAATTGGAATACGACGGAGTGAGGCTTGGCCTTTTCGTGCCTGCCTGTTTCCATGCACCTGGCTACAACACACTGTGAATGAAGATATGGTAATTAATTTCAACACGCTATTGAAAATTGCATCAAAGAAGTTTTAGCGATACAATACTTTTATAATTCAACCAATATCTATTAAACAATTTCAGAATAATTGTTCTGTTGTAATTAAAATTAAATAAGCAAAGTTTACTAAAAAATAAAATTTCAAGTTTTTTTTTTTTTCTTGATCGTCTGATGAGATCTTAACCATTGGGTTGGTTCAATACGTTTGAAGGCTTAACTACATATTCTTCCTTCTGCATTACAGGCCAATTTGCTTTAGTTGGTAGGCCTACCAATGATTGATACAAGAAAAGGATGCAGTAGCTTTATTAGCTCTACAAGACAAAGATGAGGAGGCATCTGTCCCAAGATTATCTGTATTTGTCAGTCCAACCAGATTACAAGGAATAAGGAAATGGATATAAAATCTAGAAGAATGCTAAATACTCTGTTTGAATCATGATAAATTCAATCATGTCAATTTGTTTTGTAGTTCAAGACAGAAAGCTAATGCTGCTAGAAATCAGAATCATTTGTTTGCTTTTTAGAAGGTTTTTTCCTCATTCTTCAATTAAGGAATTCTGAATATTATCATATGCAGTGATTGTGTGCTAATTTTGTCATGAAATGCTGATATTATATATATGGTACCAATTTGCTCATAAATTGACATATTTGGTCCAGCTACCTCTAGACCATCTATTGGAAGTATAGCGAAAAAAGGGTAATTTCTTAGCTGTGCAATTCACAGCAAATTAACACCTTAACTTAAGCAATTGATTTGTATTATACAAAATAATAACAGCTGGGACTCCTTTGAACTGCATTTTCAAACTAGGGAGATGCTGCAGTGCCTCCAAAAACCAATGCATGGTCAATACATCATGTGAAGAACAAGAAAAGGCCAAAAATTATAGACTCAGAATCTTTGCTTAATTATATAAACCTTAATTCTATCTTGGCTTTCAGTTTTGTCTTATTCTTGTAGAATCTGAAAGGAATATTGGAGACCAGGAAACAGATTATTATATATACGTGCAACAAGTAGAAGGGTCATTTACATAAAGCTGTATCTATGTCAATCTTTGTTTTGACATTGGAATTACAATTCTCTTCTGATAATTTTTGTTTACAAGAGAGGCCGTAGCTTAGGATAAGAAAAGTGGTTGCATGTGCTGGAATTTAAAACTTTTGACTTTTTACATGTTACCTTTTAAGAATGGATGCAGGTAGCAATTGAACTAAACTTCGGCTCTTCCAAATTTTTGCATGTATCATACTCAGTTCACAGCCTCATATGGGTTCCAATAATAGTCATTGGCATCAATCCACGAACACCAGCCATTATTGTTTTCTATTAGAAGAAACCTTCCAGACTATATTTGAAGCCATCTGGGTTTTCAGCTTCATCTGGTGATAATTAGACATGTGCAATTCAATCAAGAGGAGGCAGATTTTTAGTTGTTGAGATTTGTTAAATGCTCTACAAGCTTGTTAAAAAGCTCAATCAGTAAATTGCCGAAGGAGAGCTGGTAGGAGTAATTTCTTCAGGTAAACAACAATGGATTCATTTATGAGACAGATAGATGTACAAAACTGCCATTTACAAGCCTTTGTTTTCCCTTACAGAAACATCAAAACGAACAAAAATAAAGTTGTTAAGTGAAAGAACAGAACAGAAACTGAAGTTTTATGAACTGCTCCAGTTGATACATATATTGTTCTTGTCATGTATTCATTTATGTTTGATGAATGTTGCACTGTCTTTGCTGAACCGGGTTTAGGTGTATCACATAAACCAATACCTGCATCATCCAAAACATCTTCAAAACCACTATTTGCATTATAACATAGTCCTGGATTGTTGTTAAGCCTCAGCTTTCTCCCCATCTTCCACACCTTTTCTCTTCCAAATGGAACAGGGCCACTTAAGTGATTATCATTCAGCCTTAGTTCACAAACATTCTTCAAGTCCCTGAAGTTGCTTGGAATGGAACCATTGAAGTGGTTGCCATCAAGGTAAACAACCCGAAGGCTCGGTAACCAGCCTAATGAATCGGGGATCGGTCCTTGTAAATTCATGTTTGATAAAACTAGGATCATTAAATCCTTCATTCCATCAAAGTAATCACTAGGAATGGCAGTTGATCCCATTTGGTTGCCTTTGAGAATCAATGCTTGGAGGGAAGTTAAGCTTCTTAGTGATGTTGGAAATGGGCCGGACAAGCGATTATAGCTCAAATCCATAAGCATGAGCTCTTTCAGCCCACCAAATGAATCAGGTATTGGGCCAGTGAGACGATTATGGCTAAAATCAATTTTAACTAAAGACTGGCAAGATCCAAGGATAGATGGGATTGAGCCCATTAGAAGATTTTGGCTTAGGTCTAAAACATTCAAAACTGGGAAGCTAAAAGCAGGAATTGAAGCGGTTAATTTGTTCCCACTCAAATCCAACGACCTTAGGCCAGTGATCTGGTCTAATGAAACTGGAATTGAACCATTGAGATTGTTTTTGTGAAGATCAAGAACCCTTAAGCGAGTAAGATTGCCTATTTCACTTGGAATTGGACCAACATGCCCATTTTCCCTGAGGACTAAAGTCTGTAACGTGGAACCCAATTGGCCCAAAAACTTTGGGATTGGCTGAGGATTATAACTGAAACAACGGTAAAAAAACAGTGTTCTAATACGAGGTAGCTTGGTAATGGACTCTGAAATATATGACTTTGTCTGGTCGCAGGTAGGGAAAGCAGTGTCATCGGACAATGCCCCGAAAGACAAGGAGACAACGTGGTAGACGTTTTCTTTGTCTGGCATGCACTCGATGCCATGCCAACGCCCACGGCACACGTCTGGGATATCCGTGGCCCAATCGTTTCCCGTAGCTCGCATTATATCGTAAACTGCCTCTTGCTCCTGGGGGTTGGTCCGAGCCCCATTTTTATTCATTGAAAACCCTGTTTGAGGCCCGTCGATGAGGGTAGATGGGACGCCAGAATCCGACATGATGACTGTAAAAGGCCTAGCAAGTTGGAAAGAACATAAGACGATGAGAAAAAGGCGCGTAGGAAGACGTATGAAGCCATTTTTGGGAAGTGTGAGAGTGAAATTGTGGGCTTGGACTTGATATAGAATGAGGGGAAAGGACAGGAGTTAATGAGAGGGGTCAGGTTATTGAATGAGATAAAAGTGTACAAAGGACAGGTTGGTGAATACAATGACGTAAAACTAATTGTGGGTTCACGAGAAATGAAGGAGTTGAAATAAATTGTGATGGAGTAATTTTGCATTTATGTGTTTCACGAGAATTTTGCCCCTGGAATTGGGACTTGGGATCCACTCATTTGGACATAAGATTGAGTCGGATTCAACCTGGCCGTTGTCACTAGTACACCTTACGCATAAAACAACACACACGACATGTTTCATAGTGATATAAATGAGTTGATATATTTATGAATTATTTGAGTCAGATTTGAAATAATTTTAAATTTGATTTGATCATTATTAATACAATTTAAATTTAAGTAATTTGAGTGATCAAATGAGTTAAATTCGATTGATATAACATTGTTAAACTATACTGTTGTTAAGTATTATTTATTCAGAGAGCCGAAACCTCTTTCACAGTTTTGTTCTTTAAGAAAAGCATCTCACTCCAATCTTTATTATTAAATGTAAGAGTACAGTTTCTTCTTCAACACTGATCTCTTTAGTTAAGGGTGTGAATTATGTATTTTAAAAAGAATGATTCAGATTTTCACAAATAACATCATTTATTAATGTAAAACTTGTTGAATTATATTTATTATAAGATGTGAAATTCATAATTCAATATTTGATTATAAGATGTGAGATCGATTCCACCATCAACAAGATGTAATGGCTATTGAAAACACACAGTTCACATCCTTAACAATGAAAGTGTTGAAGAAAAATAAATAATCTCACATCTAATAATCAATGATTGGACTGTAACCTATAAAAATGTTTTTTTTTTTCAAATTAATAAACGATCGTAAAAGCCTCTGTCCTTAAAACAAACAATAAGTAGCAGGCAAAGTTTAATTTTCTTGTGTCTACATATTTTGTTTTGTCGCATGCGGACGTAATCAGATTAAGGCATTCTTGCATCAACACATTTTATTTTGCTGTATGCAGACATAATCAGACGAAGACATTCATGACTTGTTTGCTAAAATAGTTCCCTTTAAAAATTTTTAATTACGATAAATTGATAAATAATTTTAATTTGTATATTTGATATTTTGAATTAAGTGATAGATAGAGAAGCATAATATGTTTATGAGTATTAAGTATTTAATTTAAAATTAATTGATAATAAATAAATGAGTTCAACAACTTAATTTTTTTTTTTTTGTAAAGAACAAAAATAAATTAATTATAAAATAATACGATACATAATATGTCCAGTTTCATTAACGATGACTAAATCTTTAATAAAAAAATGAGGTTCACTAAACACCACATAATTGATATCGTAATGATTAAAACTATTACAATAATTGTTACTATCAAACCGGGCAAAGGCGTCAACACACGTATTCCTTTTCCTAAACACGTGAAGCATGCGTTGATCTTTAAGAATTTTCATCAATTTTTTGCAATCAAAATCCAATTTAAATATAATATTATAAGATGTGGGATATTGTAATTTTAACAAGTCTCTATTATGTGTAAGTGAATATAGAAAAAACTTTTAATGTGATAAATTTTAAAAAAGTAAAAAATTTTTTTTTGATTCTGATATCATATTAAATTTAAAATTATTTGATAATAAATAAAAAGACTTAATTTAAATATAAAATTATAAAAAATTAAATATTTATTATATATGAGATAATTTATGTTAACATGCTCTCATTATATATAAATAAAAATGAAAAAACTTATTATATAACAAATTAAGAAATGAAATGGCAACGAAAAAAATATCTTTGGACCTGTAAATTAAATCAATTAATTTTAAATTAAATGTTTAATAATAATTTAAATTAAATCGGGTCTCCTTGGGCTTTTGAAAATTTTATCCACGACCCAGTCGAGCAGGTCTTGAACATATACGACTCTTAAAAAATATTATAAAATTAAAAAAACTATTTTTATTTTAATATTCAATATTTTAAAATTTAAATTAAATAAAATTTTTTATTAATTAAATAATATTTCAAGCTTATAAAATTCTGTTCAAAACAAGGCCCGAGTCAAAGCGTACAAGTAGCAGATTTCATTGTGCATTATTTTTATTTTATAATAATAAATCCCTGAAAAATACCATTATTTTTTTCGCCTCTAATTTAACACGAATTTTTTATATATAAAAAAAAAGGTCAATTCGCTAGGGTTTGAGCTTAATAATGTATGTTGTCGTCTACTGTTCAAACTCAAGTTTGGAGTTTTGAGATCAAGCTTTCCAGTGCTTCTGTTCAGTTCGGCTGGATCACACCCTAGATCAAGCGAAGCCCTTCAACCACTGGTATAGCACTGGTTTTCTTGTCTTTTATCGTAGTGTTTCTGATTTGCTTTGCTCTATATTTGAGAGCCGCGCCCTAATTGCAGATCACTCTATAATTCGCGACAGGCAGCCATCGCTGAAACCCACTTTCTTCCGAGAGAAATAGAGTAATCAAATGGATGAAGAAAAAGGAGAAAGAGCAGAAGCACCAATTTTCAAAGACAGACGCCGTTATGTATGCAAATATTGTGGAATCTGCAGATCTAAGAAGTCTCTCATTACCTCTCACATCCTCACCCATCATCCGGTACCCACTTTGATTATGCACTGTTTGTTCGATTTTTCTTTAGAAATCGACCAATGGGTTCTTGATTTCTCTTTATTTATTTTTTTTAAACTTTGGGTTTGGTTCAGGAGGAAATCGACGATGGAGGAAAGGAAGAAGAGGAAATTTCGTCGTTGAATACATGTGAACAATGTGGTGTTACATTCAAGAAGCCTGCTCATTTGAAGCAACACTTGCAAAGCCATTCTCTTGAGGTAGTTTTTCTTTTTACTAGTAATTGGTTTCATATTCAAAAGTTTTTAATAATGTTCACTTGAACTTTTAATTCTTACAGGTAACAAAATGGATAGTTTTAAACATGATTTTGGGTTTTTTTTTTTACCACCTATTTTTTTATGACTAGTTTGTTTTTCCTGTGAGTTCTTATGTATTAAGGTTTAGTACTTTTGCAGGAATCGTTGATTTTTATTAAGAAAAAAATCAATGGATGTTATTGCGTGAAGCATTGGATCCCACAGAAAGAACTCCAAAATGCGAGAGGCTGTATTGTTACAACTTGAATGGACCAGTATCAGGTTGGGAGACCTCCTGAGAAGCTCCATCAAGTGCGCCTCAGTCACGCGGTGTGGTAGTATACTTTGAGGTTTGAAGAGTTGTTTTGTGCATGTATAGATCATTGTTGGTTGCTACATAAACTAGTAGCTTCTAATACTTTTTTTGTTGTTACAGAGGTCATTTGTTTGTTTAGTTGATGATTGCCGTGCTAGCTATAGGAGGAAAGACCACTTGAATCGCCACCTTCTTCAGCACCAAGGAAAGCTTTTCAAGTGTCCAATTGAAAACTGCAATCGAGAATTTTCAATTCAAGGCAACATGAAAAGGCATGTGAAAGAATTTCATGATGAAGAGTCAACTTCCCCTGACGTTGGAAGTCAGAAACAACATGTTTGCCAGGAAGTAGGATGTGGAAAGGTGTTCAAATTTGCATCAAAGCTGAGAAAGCATGAGGATTCTCATGGCAAGTTGCTTTTTTTTTTCATTTTTCAAAATTATATCAAGGTATCTGATTTGATGTGTCTCCAAGTGAGTGAGATGCATAAGTTATACCTTAATTCAATTATTCTTAGTTATTAAAAAAAGAAAGTAAGCACTCTTGATTGGGAGGTAGTTATTTACATGTTGTTTGATGGATGCCTTAACTATTACAGTTAAGCTGGATTCGGTGGAAGCCTTCTGTTCTGAACCAAGTTGCATGAAATATTTTACCAATGAGCAGTGCCTTAAGGTTCATGTGCAATCATGCCACCAATATATTACTTGTCAAATATGTGGGAAAAAGCAGCTGAAGAAGAACATCAAGCGGCACCTTCGATCACATGAATCAGGAGTTGCATCAGAAAGATTTAAGTGTGATTTTGAGGGTTGTCTTCATACATTTTTAACAGTAAGATACTGTGAACCTTAAATATGCAATTTGTTTACATTTAGTCGTAAGAAGTTGAATGTGTACAAGAAAGTGTCAAATACTAAATTCTTTTCTGATTATAAACCTTTTCTTTTTTTTTTTTTTACCAAAGTACTGAAATATTTTATTCCAGAAATCAAATCTGAAACAGCATGTCAAGGCTGTGCATGAAAAACTCAAGCCTTTTGCATGTGGCTTCTCTGGTTGTGGCATGAGATTTTCATACAAGCATGTTAGAGAGAACCATGAGAAATCTGGGTGCCACATATATGTTCCTGTAAGTTATTTAGTTGTCGATGACTCAATGTTATTGCAAGGCTTTGTCTTGTGTCTTTGGTATTTTTCATGTTGGACAAAGATTCATGGTTTTAGTTGTTTCCTGTTCAGGGGAACTTCATAGAGTCCGACGAGCAGTTTCAGTCAAGGCCAAGGGGTGGGCGGAAGAGGACATGGCCCACTGTGGAAACGCTTATTCGAAAAAGAGTAACTCCACCTCAGATGGATGCGACGATGGATGCAACGATGGATCCAGGGCATACACTTGGTTGCTCTTAACAAATTAGGACTAACCTTTATACTATATGGGTAATATATTTTCAATAACCTTTAGACTACAGACTTTTTAGTAAAACTAAACTTGGTAATGAATGGGCAGAGTGTATATTAATATATGTGGGTTATATATATTTATTTATTGTTGCCATTGGTGGTTGTTTTATCCATAAAATTGGGTGAGGGAATTTATTTTAATACAATAAGCTAGTTGGTTAATTGTAAAATGCCTTCACTCTTCACCGCAAAAGAGCCTTTACCCCTACACTGACCGGTGCCAAGGGCTCGGATGCATTTGTGTTAGCCCTTCAACATTACAACATTGGGTATCTTTCCTAACAGAGATTTTCTGATAATTATCTTCTTAAGATTTGGATGTCAACCCTCAAAGGGAGCATATAATTTACAATTACTGTAGTACAATTAATCAATTATAATTCAGTATTGGTAGGATTTATAAAAATTTATATGAAATTTTAATTTTTAAAGTTCAAATTCATAGTTTAGATACTATGTTAGAGATTTATAAAGTTTCAAGTGTTATATTAAATATTTTATTATAATTTAAAAGTCATTTATAGCATTAATTTTGTGTTAAATTTTCAAAAAAATTATAAAATAAAAAATATCTCTAAAATTAACAAATAAAAAAACCAATACATATCAATCAAAAAAATAGAATTAAGTGTCAATAATTAGGTAATGTATATTAATTTCATTAAATTATAAATTATAAATAATCTAATTACTATAGGCGGATAAGAGGACTAATCCAAACACGTCTAGTAATTATGCTAAATGCCTCAGAGAAGCACAATTGTAACAACAAGATTACATATAAAAAACTAAAATTTTATAAAATTACAAACAATATTATTATAAGTAATTGGTTTATTCAACATGGAAATGTTTAGGATGAAAAGAGATTTTCATTACATTGAAGCATAATTTTGCCATTAAATTATTTAGTATCATTTTGCTCTTTAAATTTCCCAATTGCCTTTCCAAAATAAAATAAAATTTAATTAGAGGAACTTACTGATATATTAAAACTTAAGTTTAAGTTCGAGTTTTTTTCATTATAAAATATAGATAATTTTCAAAATTATTACATTTAAAATTAGATAAAATTAATGATTTACATTTTTGTATCTGTAATTTTCATAATGTAAAAAAATGCATAAATCATGAAAACTTTAAAAGATTAGTTTCTAGTCTCTTTTCATTTTTTATAAAATGATGATATCATACACCATTCACAGTTCCACATCACCACTTTGTTCTAGCAAATAAAAATAGAAATATGTTTGTTACATTTTTGCCTTCCTTAAAAAAAAAAACAATTAAAAATAAACGACTATGCTTATTATCGAGGCACACGCAACTCTGATAAACCGCTCTACTTATCACCAATGATATGATAAGTTCATTCTAACAAACACATGTCTTATCACCTTTTTAGGCTTTATCACTTACAGTAAACCACCGAAATTCTAGGCGCGTTAGACAGCTTAGACCGATCTGTGAGTTATGCTGCCTAAGAAGTTTTATACACGTGAGAGAGTTTTTCTGGATTAATTGGTCACAATCAATTCATCTACGTGTTAGTTTGGTTCACATCTTGACGCGCACGCAGGTGTGCGTGATACCCAATGAGAAAAATAAAAGAAAGAAATAAATGTTTAAAAGGGAAAAGTATGGTGCAGTGCATACCATTGGAATTCCATGTTCAACACAGGACCATTGTTAATCTTAAACCATCCAAAATAAGATCAAATGATGTGTTTATCAATAAACTAAATTCATATTTTAAAAAATATTAAAAAATAGAAAAATAATAATTTGTACATAATAATTTAAAATATGATATAATAATATAATATAAATATAATATAAAAATATAAAATAAAATGATATAATTTAAAATTTTAATAATAATTATGTGTTTAATAAAATAAAATTTTTTTTTCATATTTTCATATTAACATAAATTATGATACATAATTTTTATATAAAATATCATATAAATTTTAAAATTTTATATGATATAAATATATAAATGATCAAATATATTAAAAAAAAAATCATAAAAATTTTCGTTAAATTAATAATTAAGAGTTTAACGAATAATATTAATAGTGTAATTAAAGGAGTTTATATTCTTATTAATAATAAAATTAAAAAATTGACACATTTAATTTATTTTTAATATTTAAAAAAATACATGTGTCATTCTATACGCTTTATTGGTAAAATTTAAAAACTTTAACAATTTCTCAAGTAAAATAACATAAGTAAGTGCAAGTCCATTAAATCCAATGCTGTTGGCAGGCCACCGTATAATTTACTCCCCACTTCCAGAACTACCCTTATATAAAATGGTAATTTTAATTTTTCCAAACACGCCAGATTTCTTCATTTCACATTCCTTTTTCTCTCTTTAAATTCTGCAGACTAAAAAGCGAACAAGAAACGTCTCACTACATAAATCGACACACCCTCTCGTCGTTATTCACAACTTTCTCACGTCTCGATCTGCTCTTTCTCTCTCTCTCTTGCTCTTTTCTTTTTCTGTCTTAAAGTCAATCCAAAAGCACTCAACTGTTCTTAATTTGGATCCGTGAAATTAAGCCCTAATTTTGTGTTTTCTTTGAAAAATTTCTTGAATCGATCCGTTATTTTTTTTTCTTTTTTCTTTGGATCGAAGAGAGATAGAAACGAGGAAAAGAAAAAAAAAGAAATGTCTTCGTTGAGTAGAGAACTGGTATTTCTCATACTTCAGTTTCTTGATGAAGAGAAATTCAAAGAAACCGTTCACAAGTAAGCTTAATTTTCACTTTATCTTTTTTTTCTTCAATTTGGTTTTGTTTGGCTACCTTGAAAATCGGAGAAAAAAATGGACAGGTGAAAGGAATTTCAAATATTAGTTTGAGTTTCAATTTTCTTAAATATCCTGTAATTATTATTAGTTTGAGCTTTAAAGTGTTCATTGAATTATAAGTATTGAAGTAATGATTATATTTTATATGTTTGTTTTGACCATTGAAAAAAAAAAGATTGGAGAAAGAGTCAGGATTTTTCTTTGATATGCGATATTTTGAGGATTGTGTAACCAATGGGGAATGGGATGAAGTCGAGAAGTACTTGTCTGGATACACAAAAGTTGAAGATAATCGATACTCTATGAAAATTTTCTTCGAGATTCGAAAGCAAAAGTACCTCGAAGCCCTCGACAAGTAAGTTTATTGAGTTATTGTAAGTATTAGAGTAATGATTTTTTTTTTTTTATTATTTTAATTTTTCTTTTGTAGGCGTGACAATGGTAGAGCTGTGGAGATTCTTGCGAAAGATTTGAAAGTGTTTTCGACGTTTAATGAAGAGCTTTTTAAGGAAATTACAATGCTATTGACTTTGGCAAACTTTAGGTAAGTAAAAATGTTTTTGTAATGTGATTGCTATTCTGAAGCATGTTGGATTATTATTGCTCTAAGAAGGTTGATTGTGAGGATTTTGGAATGTGAGTGGTTTACTGCCGGAAAATGCATAAATTAGTATCTCTGTGGAGCTAGAGTGGGCTATATTGAGGGTGGTTTAATGTATGAGTTTTAAGTATGCTCTGTTTCAATAAAATAGAATGCCATATGAAATTGTATGTCATGCATTTGGGGAAAATGTTATTGGGATTTTAAGTGTAAATGTGTCTACGTAAGTAGAAACTGTGTTATTAACCAAATAATAAATAAATAAATAAATAATACCAATGCATTTAGCTTTTCTCCTTGAAATTCCATTTTTCTATTTAATCATTTGATACAACAACGGATATAAGGAACCCTCAATTTTGAGTGCTAAACTTGAATGCCCTTTCTTTTTGATTAAAATGTACTATTATGTATTTATGTTATTCAGATAAAAAAAGTGTTTATGTTATTATTTTTTTTTATTTTGGAATTTGATTGCAGGTTATTGGTATTGCTTTTATAATATTAATAGTATAAAATTTCAGTTTGGAAATTTCATTGAATAATAAAACCTTTTTCTGGAAGTTTTCAAAAAATTCATGATTACCTACAAATTGTTAGCAATAACTGTGCTGAGTATCATTATCAATCATTTGAAATCTCTATACAGGGAGGTCCGGTTTAAAGAGGTCACAAGACATTTTCTTAGATGCATTATGAAAAAATGTTTCTCCATTTCTAAATTATAATTAAGTGCTTAAAATTTTGAAATGCATAAAACATTTTTACGTATGGATAATTGGGTTCTAAAATTTCTATGGTGGTGTTGTTGTACTCTCAGCTAAAGAAGGGTTATAGTCTAGAGTTCTATCCATGTGCTTTTCTGAAGAAAACTGGTAATTGGGTTTACTGAAGAGGGAAAAGAAATGTGCACAACCTTAAGCAAATAAAATAAAATAAAATAAATAATAAAAAGTGAAGAGATTTTTTTTCTTTTTTCTTTTTGTGACGGATAATTACTTATCTAGAATTACTAGAAAATAGTCAAACTCTGCCTCCATAGGAGTGATATGAACTGTGTTTACTTCCCTGCAGTTATTTACGCTGAATGGACAAAATTATTCTTAGTTGTGAGAAATGTTTTTATAGATGTTTCATTATTCCTTTGTGAATAATTTTCAGGGAGAACGAGCAGCTATCCAAGTATGGAGATACCAAGTCGGCTAGGGCTATAATGCTTGTTGAGCTCAAAAAATTGATTGAGGCAAATCCACTTTTCCGTGATAAGCTTCAATTCCCCACCTTAAAAAGTTCTAGGTTGAGGACACTAATCAATCAGAGGTAATGTGAACAATGTTGTGTTTGTAGTATTAATTATTGACTTGGAATTATATGTTGGATGGGATTTTTTATGCTTTCACTCTTGTTTGTTAATTTGCAGTTTAAATTGGCAGCACCAACTTTGCAAGAATCCAAGGCCTAACCCTGACATAAAAACCCTTTTTGTAGACCATACTTGTGGTCCACCAAATGGAGCTTGTGCTCCTTCACCTGTAACCAATCCTTTAATGGGGTCCATCCCTAAAGTGAGCGGTTTTCCTCCAATAGGTGCTCATGGTGTAAGTCTATAAGTGACCAGAGTACTCTTTGTTGTTGGGGTTGAGGATGTTCTGTTTTCTGTCTATTGTCTTTTGTGGTTATTTATGCATCTGTTTACTTTTTATTCAGCCTTTTCAACCTGCACCAGCTCCAGCCCCAGCACCACTTACGGCAGCACCACTTACGGCATCTCTTGCAGGATGGATGGCTAATCCGTCTCCTGTGGCACATCAAGCAGTTTCAGCTGGCCCTATTGGTCTATCTGCATCTAGTAATGCAGGTAGTTATTATTAGCTGTTAATCAATTCTGATGGGTTATTAGTCCTATACCATGGCGATTTTATAAGTTTAAGACACATTTGTGTCTCTTTAAACTTGATAATCTTGTCACAATGATTACATTTCAAGAAAGAGAATGCATATAATATATGGAATTTCTTATTTTTACAAAAAAACTATTAATTAACTGACAATGAAGTTTGCAAGATGGTGATGCTTTATTAATAGTGGTGATACATACTTCTTTAAAAGTGTAAGGAGCATATATTGTTGGGATATCCAAAGCTAAATGCATTTGATGAAAGTAGATCTCCTGACTTGTGATGGAGAGACTATTTTCAAATTTTTCATCCTTTTGAGAATGTAATCCTTGATTTTGACTCTCATCCTCTTTCAAGATTGTCTATCCTACTAGATAACTGGTATTATCATTTAGAGAGCTTCACTCAAGTATTATTAAAATAAATTTAATAATAATTTTTAGAATTGCTAGCGTGCTCTTGACAGTTTTATATTGTGCTAGAGGGGTAGATTGGATGTAAAAACTAAAATTGTGCTAAAATTATTTCATAAGATGCTGGAGAAAAATTTTCTTTGTTTTGGGTGATTGATTCTTTATTAACTAGTTATTTGCTTTATTTTTTATTTTTATGTTGACTTTTACATGTAAAATTATGTTTTAAGACCATTTCATATGCATTTCTTTGTATATTTTCTATCTTTTGGTTTTAAGATTCTTTTAAATATTTTTTATGGTCATGTACATTTAACTTGGTTGTGCTTATTATTACAACTGTTTGATTAGAATTTTTCTTTTGCTCACCGGAATCTGCTTGATTCAGCTATTGGATTATTCCTTATCTTTTTTTTTTCTGCATTCTACTTTGTTATTTTCAAGTAGGTCTTATCATCTTTTCTTTTCCTTTCTGTTTGTATATATTGTATTTGGTAGCATCTACGGCAAAGCGCCCTAGGACTCCTCCAACTAACAACCTGGCAATGGACTATCAAACTGCAGATTCTGAGAATGTAGTAAAGAGACCAAGACCCTTTGGAATATCTGAAGAGGTACAGGTACTATATCTTCTCCCTTTCCTTCTCTCAAGTCTTATTAGGTTAAAAGTCTGAACGATGCATTTACTTGCTATCTTGAAATTATTTAATCCTTTTTATAGTAATTTTTATATTTTGCTCCCTACTTTTTTGCAATTTTGTCATCTTATTGACCAAAAGATGCTTATGTTAAAACTTGATGTTGGATATTATTTAGAAATCCCTTATGTCTTTCATGTTTACTTTTGCTTTTCTCTTTCTTTCATCCTTTTATTTGGATTTAACTCATTTAGTTTTACCTGGCTTATTTTGCTTTGCAGATGAATAATCTAGCAGTGAATATTTTACCAGTCACATACCCTGCCCAGAGCTATGCCCACTCATTATCCGAAGATTTGCCAAAGAATGTCTTCTCAGATTTAAGTCAGGGTTCAACTGTTAAGAGTATGGATTTCCATCCAGTGCAGCAAACTTTGCTTCTCGGTTAGTACTTTCTTTTTTTTTTTTTTTCAAAAATTGGCTTTTTTGATTTTGGTTGCTCGTCATTTTCTGGTTGACTAAGGTTTTTTCAAAGAAATTTGACTTGTCTATTTTTATGTTTTTTCTCGTCGAATTTAGTTGGTACAAACATTGGTGATATTACAATCTGGGAGGTTGGGAGCCGAGAGAGGCTTGTTTCTAAAAAATTCAAGGTTTCGGATCTTGGTGCATGCTCAAGGATCTTGCAGGTAAGCTTCTTCTGTCAGAAAATTCTAGTTGTACTATATCCGCTAGGTTCTTAGGATTGATTTTGATACTGAGCTCTGTCCAATGTCTGCTTTCTAGGCATCCTTGGCTAGTGAATATACTGCTGCAGTGAATCGTGTTATCTGGAGTCCAGATGGTGCCCTTTTGGGTATGTTCCAGCGGATTTGGATGTTGAAATCTACTATAATGGTTATTGTGTGCTATTCATACAATATATTGCTAAGTGCTTAAAGCAAGTATCTATTTAAGCTTCAAAATTACCTTTTAAAAAGTAGAGTACTTGCCGGGCTCCTCCTTGCCTCTCTGTTCTCTACCTCCCGCTGTGGTGGATGAAAAATTATTGAAGCTCTGTACACCAATTCCAATGGCTAATTTGGCTCTTAAATCAACAGTTTGGCATCTTCCAGTGATGGTAACTCATATTTTATTTTTGGTACAGGTGTTGCATATTCCAAGCATATTGTGCATATATATTCATATCATGGCAGTGATGATTTAAGGGATCATCTGGAGGTACGTGTAACATTCTTTGTGGATCAATCATATTTTTGGCACTTTTATGAATCATCCAATCTTTAAAATCTAAACCATCTTTGAAGGTCAATTATATCTTTCACATAAGTATAAATTATATATGTATGTTTCACATATATGCTATAGACATCCATCTATCAATAGGAGAAATAAGTTATCCATAAATTAATTATATGTGCCTTTTAATAAACAGCCACCAAGTAAATTAATGATAATTTTCCATAATTTGGCTGATCTTCAGTAAAATAAGTTCTACCCATGCAAAGTGCTATTTAAGCCTTCTAGCTTGGCCAACAGAAGCGGAGATAGTAGCAGCAGTGGGTTGATGTTGGGATTTATCTCTCTACTCTTAAGGAAAAAAAAAAAGGAAAAAGAAAAGTCATCCACACAATAACCATGTGCATCATTTCAGCCTCTGAATACCAAATGCATTAGTGATAATTTGGGCCAGGTACCCTTGTTAGACTGAAATTGCCTTGCTGTTCTAATCTTCTGTTAAAAGATGGATGGCCGGGTGTTACAACCATAACAATTGGATGGCACTACGGCAGTTCTGGGGGATAAACAGGTTGAGGTTAATTAAACATGGTGCTGTGAGATTGTTGCTGCAGAATTGCATTTATACCCAATAATAATTTTTGCAATGTCATTACAGGAAGCTATTATCGGGGGTTTAGATTCTTTTCTTTTTCCTTTCTAGGACTGCTCCCCCTGTTTCAAGAAGGTTAACTAGTGATTAAGTTTTTTTTCTTTTATTTTTTTGACAGCTGATTGCGTTTCTATTTATTTAATTCTCCAGATTGAGGCTCATATTGGTAATGTTAGTGATCTTGCTTTCTCTCAACCAAATAAACAGTTGTGTGTCATAACTTGTGGAGAGGACAAGACGATTAAGGTTTGCTTTGTTCAGAAATTTTCCATTCATTAGAAACAGTATGCCTCTTGATTACTATTTGAAGGCTCCAACATTGTGCAGGTATGGGATGCTGTTAATGGTAATAAGCAGTACACTTTTGAGGGTCATGAAGCCCCTGTTTATTCAGTGTGCCCACATCATAAGGAAGGCATTCAGGTATCAGTTTTTGTTCTTTTTCCTTGTTCAGCTTTTTTTATTTATTTATTTTTTGGGGGAGGGGTGTGATGAAGCTGGTTGTAGATATCAAAATCTCCTTAGTTTTACCAAAATGAAATGCATTCATTCTGTAGGCCTCCGCCTTAAGTGTTGATGATAACAAAATTATACCAAAAAATATGGAATTAAAATCTTATTCTTACAGGTTCTGCAACTTTTACCCTTTCAAATTAAAACTTCAGAAATTCTCATATTTTTAATTTTTTTATGCAAATGAGAATACTTATGCCTACTGGGTCATTAGAATGTGTCTCTACTTATTTGCTTTTCTATTTTAGATATGCTTACTGATGACTGATGATTTCTTTTCCATCCACTAGTTCATATTTTCCACAGCTATTGACGGAAAAATAAAAGCTTGGTTGTATGATAACATGGGTTCAAGAGTTGATTACAATGCACCTGGTCATTCGTGCACAACAATGGCCTACAGTGCTGATGGGACCAGGTATGGTTTTCTTTTTTCTTTCTTTTTCAGTGGCCTGAATATGGTTCCTTTTGTTTTCTTACTATTCTGTAATTTGATTCTGTACATTTTCATCTTATATTATCTTATTCTATTTTGGTCTTATAGTTATATATTCATTGCAGGCTATTCTCATGTGGGACTAATAAAGAGGGTGAGTCACACATTGTTGAATGGATTGAAAGTGAGGGTGCTGTCAAACGGACATATCATGGTCTTGGAAAGCGGTCTGTGGGGGTTGTGCAGTTTGATACAACAAGAAATCGATTCTTGGCTGCAGGTGATGAGTTCCAAGTCAAATTTTGGGACATGGAACATGTTAACCTCTTGACAGCCACTAATGCTGACGGTGGATTGCCGGTAATGGGTCTCTTGTTAATGTAGTTATTTTCCTAAAGCATCTCCTTTAAGTTCGCAAGTATGACACATTTTTTCAGGCTTCTCCTTGCCTACGCTTTAATAAAGATGGAATTCTGCTTGCTGTCTCGACAAATGAAAATGGAATCAAAATACTTGCAAATGCTGATGGTGCTAGGCTTTTGCGCTCCATTGAAGCTCGTGCACTTGATCGTGTTCTTGATGCCTCTAGAGCTGCTTCTACGGCTGTGGCAAAGGTAAAATAACCTTTCTGACACTTTTCAGAGGCCCCATATCTGAGTAGAACATAATTGTGAATGCACCATTTCTTTCAGGGACCCATAATTGGCACATTCGGTGCTTCAAGCTCAACTACTGGAACAAGCATTGCTGTTGCAGATAGAAGTGCACCAATGACAGCAATTGTTGGATTGGTAAGCATTGATGCCTGTCATGGGAATACCATGATTCTTCTATGAAGAGATGTGCTTGGTTTTCATGTTAAGCTGTTCATATAGCAGAACAACTTTCACTGGGCAAATCTGGAACCTGTTGAATATATTTGAGTTCCTTGGTTGACTAAATCGCAATTCTTTCAATCTGTACTTGCTTTTCTTGCAGAATGGGGACAGCCGTACTTTGCCAGACGTGAAACCAAGAGTCACTGATGAGTTGGAGAAATCTAAGATGTGGAAGCTGACTGAAATAAATGAACCATCTCAGCTTCGTTCCTTGCGTCTTCCAGAGAGCTTGATGCCAATTAGGGTATGCATTGCTCTCTGACCAAGTCTCCTGTTATGTGATGTTAATGCACGCATCATTTCCACATTATTTTATGCATTGCTGCTTGAGGACATTTTGAAGTCCCATCTGGAATTAAATTTGGGATGGTTCTTCAATAATTTCTGTTTTATCATTTTCATTTTTATTTCTTTTTCTTTTTAGTTAATGACCTAAAGAGAAACCACTTGATTTGAGTCCTGAGGAAAAGCTTAATAACTGCATCTAGAATTTTTTTGGGGTGATTTAACTTTAGCTTTGTTAATGTCAACACAAAATTTATGGTTTTCTTTTTATTGGTAAAATTTGAAAAAACTTATGATCTGGTTTGCTCTTCAAATGAGGATATAAAGGTTTAAAATGTATAGTTTTTGTTATGCAGGCTTGTGGACATGCTGAATCATTGTTTTGTTTTTATTCAATGAGTCATGATTGACCATATGCTTGTTTAAGTATTTTGATCAAAATAATGCTATCAATATCCCAAAATATTAAATTTTCAAGTAAAGGAGTAGGATTTGTTTTTTAGGGGTGTGTGTATTTATTGATTTTTTTTTGGGGGGGGGGGGGGGGGGGGATGGGTTTAAAATCTTTTAAGATTGGGCTAAAGAATTGGCTTCTTTCATTGAGCTTCTATTTTCTTTTCTTCATCTTTATTCCGAAAGCTTTAGCCTTAGTGTTTCCCTACAAAGTTTAAAAACTTCTGCAACTAAATATGCTGATTTTTTTAAGAGAAAGGCTGGATATGAAGCATATGCTTAAGCTGTGAGTTGTTTCTTTTACCTCCTGCCCCTAACTATTTTTTCAATTTCAAAACAGGTTGTTAGAATGATATATACAAACTCAGGAGGTGCCATACTAGCATTGACAGACAACGCCGTACACAAATTGTGGAAATGGCAGAAGAATGAGCATAACCTTTCTGGAAAGGTATTTATACCTTGACCTTAAACACTGCGTTGTCTATCATCTAGTTACTTGTGGGCCACCTATTTACAATGCTTTGTTTCGTCTAGGCAACTAGTGCTTCACCACCACAGTTATGGCAACCTTCTAGTGGAATATTGATGACCAATGATATATGTGAGACAAACCAAGAAGATGCTGTTCCATGCTTTGCTCTCTCTAAGAATGATTCTTATGTCATGTCCGCATCAGGAGGGAAAATTTCCTTGTTTAACATGATGACATTCAAGGTAATTTAATTTCTTGGAGTCATTTATATATATATATATATATATTGCATTTGCTTGACATGTAGATGTAATTCATGCTGGTCACATTTTCCTTATATGAGCTTATTTCTTTGGCAGACAATGACAACATTCATGGCTCCACCACCTGCTGCAACTTTTCTTGCCTTCCATCCCCAGGACAACAACATTATTGCCATAGGCATGGATGACTCTTCAATTCAAATCTACAATGTCCGGGTTGATCAGGTACTTGTTTTATAAGTGTAGAATTTAATATTTTGAGTAAATAATAAAAGCACATTTGTAGACTTAAATTGCTTTGTGCAGGTCAAAAGCAAGTTGAGAGGTCATCAGAAGAGAGTTACTGGTCTTGCATTTTCAAATGTTTTAAACATTTTGGTGTCATCAGGAGCTGATGCACAGGTTTGTTATATTTGACTAGTAGAATTATTGAAATGTTAACAGATCTTTTACTATTTTCAGTATTGAGATGTGTTTGGAGGCAGAAATAGGCTATTCACAAATTGCTAATCTTTTCTTTTGTCATCTTTTTTTACTACTTATGAGAACTTGTAGAATTCTGGAATTTTAAGATCCTCTATTTTTTCCAGCTGTTTGTATGGAGCATGGATGGATGGGAAAAGCAGGCTAGCAAATTCTTGCAGATTCCTAGTAGTCATGTGCCAAACCCTCTTGGACAGACCCGAGTTCAGTTTCACCAAGACCAGACACATCTACTTGCTGTCCATGCAACACAGATAGCCATATATGAAGCTCCAAAACTAGAGTGCCTTAAACAGGTAGATACATCATGCTCTGATTTTTTAGGCTTGATGTTTGTAATACTTGCATTTTTTTTTTTCTCTTATTAAAGGTGAATAAGGTCATTTTGAAGATCCTTTAGAGTGATATATAGTTTGACTAGCTAAGTTGGTTTTGCATACTCACAACAACTAAGTATATATATCTTTTAAATGTTAAAATGAAATGAAGTGTTATACAATTTGGTACCTGACCATCCCATGCTCCCTTTAATACCTCTCTCTTGTTAAATCACTTTTATCTCCTATTCTTGTCCTAATTATATCATGTCTGCCATTTGTTTGTCTCCTGAAACTACTAATTGCTCATGCTTCAGAAATAGCTAGTTTTAAGTTTTGTAATGACAAATTGTTATGTATTTATTTTGTGTATTTTGATTCTTGTGACAGTGGATTCCCCGAGAATCAAGTGGCTCGATCACAGATGCTGTGTATTCATGTGATAGCCAGTCAATCTATGTAAGCTTAGAAGATGGAAGCGTATGTATTCTCACTTCCACAACCCTCCAACTCAGGTGTCGGATTAATCCTGGTTCATATCTACCTTCAAATCCTAGGTATGCCTTGCCCTCACTAACGTCAGACATAACATTCTTTTTGTATATCTTTTTGCCTTTGTTGCTGACATTATTGTTTGGCAGTGGTAGGGTATATCCGGTAGTGGTCGCAGCACATCCATCTGAACCTAATCAGTTTGCACTTGGACTAAGTGATGGTGGAGTTCTTGTTATGGAGCCACCAGAAGACGGAAAGTGGGGTTCCTCGCCGACACTTGAAAATGGTGCTGCACCTACTATCTCGTCTACAGCTGGATCTGATCAACAGCCAAGGTAGCAACAGTTTTTCATGGTTATAACTGAAGACAGTGTGTCCCAATTTTATTTTAAGGGGGAGCAGTGGGTTTTAGGTTTCTAGCTTTAGAATACACAGGTATGTATGTCTTAGAGTGATAGGTCCATCATTAATTTTAGTGGGTTTTAGACTTGGGGTATTCCCTCCGTAAATGGCAACAAATAGGTACAGAAACGTTGAATATAATTAAAAAAAAAAGGTAAGAGGGAGGAAATTAGTGATTAGCACTGAGTTTTTGCCTCTAATATTTCCCAGAACAATTACTATAAGTATTCAGGGTTTCTACGTATTCTGGTATCATGTAACAGGGAATTATCTGATCTTTGTTTTTATTGTTATTAGAAACAAGTAAGTCAGGTTACAATCTGTCATCTATAATTTTTTCTTAAAAAATTTGTACGTGTTTAGAGATGATAGTCTAACTTGCTTTTGGTGAGTTTTGATTCAATTTTTTAGGGTTAAAATTTTTTTTAAGAAATTAAGTTTTGAGTCGGATTAAATAATTAAAAAAAAAAATCAGATCGAGTATTAAGTAAATTCAATTTGATTTGGTATATATGAAAGTTATTTTTAATTATTTATTTAATTTTATATTTATATATATAATTTTATATTTATATTAAAAATAATATTTTATTAATTTCAAATTAATTTGAATACGATTTATATAATATAATAAGATACAAGTATAAAAAACATCATCAAGTCGGATTCAGACTTAATCCACTGTCATCCTTGAGTTTGGCTCGAAGACGGACATGGTTATATTTTGTTAAGTTAGAATCACTGGGAAGGGGATTAGGTCGGGATTATGTCTTGATCGATGAATATCAGACTTATGGCCTGCAAGTTTTAAACATGGCCTACCTTGAACAACATGTAGAGCTAATGGTTAGAACTTTTTCTATTTTTTGGGCAAAACTTTGACTTTATTTAAAAGATTTTGTAGGCATTTTAGCCATTATCCCATCTCGAGTCCTACCACGTTATTTCTCTGCCAGCCAAAGCCACATGGCATCTCTAACTGGATTCTCTTTGCAGCGGACAATGACGAGTTATTATTAAAAAAAACCAAATTGATTACATATCATACCTAATAATCATTATTTACAATGATTCAAAAAAATAATTTTTTTACAAAAAAAAAAGGAAAATATAATAGAAATGGAGAGTATGTGGAATTAGAATAATTAAGGGAACTTAATTAATATTTTAGTTTTTGATTTATTTTCTAAAAAATTAATAAGTTGAAGGAAAAGGGGTTAAAAATCCTAATATATAGCATTTTTTCTAGGATAATGATTAGATTTTTTTGTTTATCAATAATTTGTGTGCATTTATATTTTTTTAATAAAATTTTGTGGAACTATATTCAGAAGATTTAAGAATAAGCATGCTAAAGTTTTTTGGGTTGATTATTAATTTTGAAAACCAAAAAGTTTAAAGCAAAACAGTTTTTTTGGTTGGAATAAAATGTTTATTATTATTATTATTGTTGTTGTTGTTGTTATTTAAATTTCATAAAATTATATTATATTAATTAAAAGATAAATCACAAAAATTCGCTCATTTGTACATATAAAATATAATTAAATTGTGAATTCAAATTTTTACAAGATAAAATAAAAAAAATGAGTAAGAAAAACAAGCTTCCAACTAAGGAAAACAACCCTATGTCAGCTTAATTAATTGGCCACATCGTACATAATCTAGTGGAAGGTTGAGTATTATTTGGTGTAAACCAAAAAATCAAACCAAATTAACCTTTTGGTTTGAATTGGTTTGGTTTCAATACCAAACAAAACTAATATTTTGATTTTATTTTGGTTTCTTTAAATTTTGATACCAATCCAAATCAAAACAGAATTACCAGAAAATAATATAATGGTATTTATATTTATATAAATAATTTTATTATATTATTTTTATAAATTTTAATATATTAATATCTTTATCTAAAAACTAAACAAGTTTCTTTTAGTCTTTAAAATCTCATTCGGAAATAAAATATCTAAATATTTTATTCTTTTAATTGAAAATTATTTAAATTCTGAAGAAACTTTGAAGGAATGAAATAGTTATTAAATATATATTTTATAAAATTTAATTAATTAAAATATTTAAAATAATAGTAGTTAAAGTTAAAAAAATTGATAAAAGAATCAATTAATTATAACAGAAAGGGTAAATAAATAAAGCAGCAAAAGCAGTGCAAAAGTTTCAAGTTTCCATGTATTTCAACCGACCGTTAGATCCCTGTAAAACGCCTTTCATGTTTTTATGTGATTTGTTGGTTCTTCGTCGAAATCTGAGGCAAATACAATGAGAGAGGTAAAACAAAAATAAATTAATTAATGAAGAAACCCCACAGAAGCAATTAAATGAAACTTTTTTAGAATAAAAACAAAATTTAAATTTAATTTTCTGGTATCAATTTCTCACCAACAATTCTTTGGAAACCCCGCCATTGTTTTTTTCTGTCTTCTATGTATAATCATTGACAATCACATTCACGTTCTTCCCTTCATGTCTCCTTCTTTCATCACCATTAACAACCATGAACGCGGCCGCTGCCACCAGCGCCACGACGACGCTTCTTAGCTCTCCTTATAAACGTTCTAACAAGGCTAACGTCGGAAGCAACGACTTTAACGTCATGGTTGATAAGAAAATAGGCGTTCATGGCAATGGTGGTTATTATAATGTTTTTAACGGTGGATTTTATCATGGGAAAGCCTCGTTCTTGAAGTGGACTCTAGATGACGTTGTGTACGTGGCGAGATATCACCGGCTACCGTGTGTTTTCGCGGCCGGATTGTTGTTTTTCATGTACGTGGAGTACTCGCTTCAGATGGTGCCGGATTCGTCGCCGCCATTTGATTTGGGGTTCGTCGTTACCCGCTCCTTCCATCGCGCTTTGGTTTCGTGGCCGGAACTTAATACGTTATTAGCTGCTCTTAATACGGTATTTGAATGCTTTCAAATTGTTCTCTAACAAAGTTCAATTATAATGAATTTAAGACTTGATATTCTTTTTTGGGTTTTGTTATGTTTAATTTCTTTGGTTACATTATTACATGTTTGGGGTTAGGTGTTTGTTGGGATGCAGACGGTTTATATACTGTGGACGTGGCTAATGGAGGGTCGGCCAAGGGCCACAATTTCTGCTTTGTTCATGTTTACATGTCGTGGGATTCTTGGTTACTCCACGCAGCTCCCATTACCTGAGGTATAAATCTTTTTCTATAGTTTTCAGGAACAGGACAGTCTAAATCTTGTTGGGAAGTTTCGTTGGAAAGAAAAATGGGAAAGTTTCTCTTTTCCAAGGTTGATTTAATGTAATTTGTTCATCAATGGCAGGAATTTGTAGGATCAGGAGTGGATTTTCCGGTAGGGAATGTATCATTTTTCCTCTTCTTCTCAGGCCATGTTGCTGGATCAGTGATTGCATCGTTAGACATGAGGCGGATGCAGAGATGGGAATTGGCATGGTTATTTGACACTCTCAATGTGCTCCAAGCTGCGAGGTTGCTAGGTACAAGGGGTCACTACACCATTGATTTGGCTGTTGGTGTTGGTGCTGGAATTTTATTTGATTCCCTCGCTGGCAAGTATGAAGAGAGCAAGACAAAATCTGCACTTGTTTCTGGTACCATCAAAGAGCCTTTCTTAAGCTAAAAGAAGAAAATGGCATGCCAAAAATGCAGTCGTAAGTTTGAACATGGGTAGTCAATAGTCATTACTAGTCAATGAACTTTTTTAAAATGTTCAAATTTGAAGAACGCAATGAAAGTTTTTATATTTTGATCATTCAAATTGAATCATGTGCTAATTCAAATGGTGTCATTTTCCAAGAATCAGAAACTCTTCAACGAGATTGTCATGCCATAGCCTCTTCGCTTTCAGCTCAAGTTAGGCAGGGCTTCACCTAAGGTAAAAGTGGACTGAGTTCATGCGAAAAAGAATTCTTATCGTACCATCATATCCTTTCATCTCTAAATTATGCCATATAATGGTGCAGTCCAAATCCTTTTCACTGCCATTTAAACGAAGCATGATTGAAAAAGCATGATAACGAAACCAATGCATCCGCTCAGCTGAAAAGCAGTGTTGTTTGATGAACGTAAAAGCGGATGTCTTTCAGCACGTTTTAGATGATGATTTTTTTTTTTTTTTTTTAATCATAGATATGCAAACCTTTGTCTTTGTCGTTTTTTATTGGGTTAAATTTAGACAAAACTTGAAAGAGATATGATGAACTGACTTTTGAACATAAACTCTTCATTGACAAGATAATAACCAAATTAACCTTGGAAAGAATTACGCAACTAGGCATGGAGGTTTGGCTTCTTTCTTTTATTTAAGAAAGTAGGCATTCGAACTTGCTTGGAAATTGAAGGAATCGTGCACTAAGCAACTGAATCAAATATTGGAGTTGTCGCCGAAGCGTTGCTTTTATATAAAGACAAAGGACACCGACTATGCCTTATTTGTAAGGGTTTATTGATTTGAGTATATCTGGTCTAGGACATCATTATTCCTTTTTTTTTTTTTTTTTTCTGCATTAATGAAGCTTATTGTCAAGCAAATTTAGATAGATTGTGCAGAGTTTCCAATCTACATTCTGATATTATGATACTGTAAACATAATATTTCAGAAACTGAAGGATTCTCATGGTTATGGTAGTTACATTAAACTTTCCCAACTCTAACCCCTACTTGAGCATCAAAAAGAAAGATCTAAAGATCCTTCCCACCAAGCACATCAAACTCATTTGAATCATGCATTATGATCGTACTATACCTCATTCACATGAATATATGCAGCCTTGTATTTAAATTTCTTGAAAAGTCAACAGGCAGGGCGAACTCCATATAGGACTGCATTTTGATACCAAGTAGTGATCCTGCAAATATTCTGCCATGGTGAATGCATTAGATGATATGAGATGCGTGCATGAGATGTGGCTGGCCGACACTAGTCCTCAAAATCGGAGTCGATTGGGCATGAGATGTTAGCGAGAGGGTTATATAAGTGTGAGTTAGGATCCATGCATCCAAGAACTAGATCAAGACTGCAATAATCGCCCTGCACGAGTGTCGTATTTATAGAGTTCACACAAAATTAATACTAGAACTTAGACACAGATAAGATAATGAAATTTAGATATAGAATAAAGAACAAAACAGATAAAAAGTCTACTTACTCCTTTGGACAAGTTACCGATCATAGCACATCACAACAATATTTGTGTCTGGAAAGATTGCTCTGTCACATGCAACTTCTTTACTCAACTCTTCAGCTAACCCTGCTACAGTAATACAAGATTAAGCATATTTACAGGTCTGAGGTAATGACATTCTCTCCACTAATCTAATCTGAATCAATTCAACATTCCAAATAGTATTAACTTGGTTATAAAGGAAAGACAGAAACGTTCACGTATTTTATGGTTTCACAATGAGTTCACTAGTTTATGTCAAAATGAAAAATGAATGCTTCAACTTCCCTTTCAGGCACCCTCCCTACCCCATGCCGGCAACATAGAAGAAAATTTTCTTGCATTAGATAGCTTGCCAAATTTTGTGTTACTTCCAAAATAATTACAGGTATGACAATCATGCTAGTGATATATAACAATGTGCTCACAGCACATGACAATTATCTTCAACCTACAGCTGGAAGACTCACACAGCCAAAATTAGCATTTTTACCTGGTTAAATAATTCAATTAGTCTGTTTTGCCAAGCCAATTGGAACTTGAAAACTGTAGCCCGTAAGGACCATTCCAATCAACTCCATTAGTGAATGAAAAGATCAAGTTCACAGCAGCCAAAGGAAATTTTCAATTCAGTAGCAGTAGCAGCAGACCACATACTCTTTAATATCTTCCATAGGGGTGTATACCTGTTGGCTAAAATGAAGCTAAAGCACATATTCTTTAATTTCTTCCATAGGAGTTTTTGTAACGGTAGCAGCAGCACTCACTTTCCCACTAATCTTGACTAATCTTTTCTTCTTCGGAAAATTCCTTGGCAATGAGGCACCCATAAAAGCTACTAGCTGCATTGAAAAATACAAAATTGTTAGGCATAAAGTGTAGCTATTTTTACTCGACATTTTGAGAGAACTAAATTGGTTTGGTCTAGCACATAGATTTTACTGCAGATACAAATAGAATGGAGCAACTGCCAACTCAATTTTAACATCCCATTTTCTCCAAATCTATTAAAACGTGAAACACGATTTAAGCATTCAAAGATCCAATTTAAAAATAAAATAAAATAAAATCCAGGAGCAGTGTACAAATTAAACAAAAAAAAAAGCAAATAAAAACAATACGTCTCCAAAGCGACTTCCCACTTGCGTTTGAAACAGATGGGTTTACAGTTTGAAGTTGTACGTACCTCTCACCGACCGCGCGGCCGAAATGGGTTGAGTTGGAGACGTAAAGATTGACGCAGTTGCCGCCGACGCCATTTCTCTCTCACTTTTGCTGCTGCTTTTAACCCCCTACAGAGACAGAGAAAAAGAAAATATCTATGCATGTCAAGTTGATTATTTACAAAACTCGAGGGCTAAAACAAAAGCCTAAGCCTACCCATTACACAGGTGGCAAGTTGATTATTTCACCTTATCTCTTCTAATCTAGACAAGATCGCCTTGTTGGCTGATCTCTCTTGTCCTTTTCTTATGCCACTTTCTTTTTCTGTAATCCGTACTTACAATGAGTCAAAATCTTCAGACTTTGGTTTTGAGAGCAAACCGACCATAGATTTAATAAAACCTGAAATCCCCCCCAACAGCCAATTTAAACCCAATGGTTTTAATCACATTGCCATTGTCAATGCCAAGTCCTTACCTTTTTCAGCTCTTCGAAGTGCAACAACAATAAAAACCAGACCTTGCTCTTGCGAAGTCCTAAACTTTGGCCATCGAAACTTAGGATTAAATCAAATAAACAGAAAGCGAAGTTCTTTGCATTCAAGTTTTATAACTGAACTGAATAGGAGTTGCAGCAGTAGGGAAGTGTTGGCTTTGGCTAATGGGGTGTCAATTGTAGCGAAAGAACCAGACCCGGAAGGGGAAACCTGGGGTATAATTTTGTTTTCTGATGTGGTGGTGCAGAGGAGGAGGAAGGTGTTTTGGGCTAGGAAATGTAACACGTTGGATATAGCCTCTGCTGGTGTTGTTTTAGCCATGCATTTGCTCAGCCTTTTTGCACCATTTTATTTCAATTGGCCTGCCTTTTGGATTGCTGTGGGACTCTATGTGATGACAGGACTTATGGGGATCACATTGTCTTTTCACAGGATAGAAGCTTCAAGGTTCCAAAATGGCTTGAGTACTTCTTTGCTTATTGTGGAGTCCAGGCACTTCAGGTTGCTAATTTTCAAAATTTGAGGAATAATTTCATTGACATGGGAGTATCATTTGATTGTTGGTTTGGTGCTTGCAGGGGAATCCGATTGATTGGGTAAGCACACACAGGTACCACCACCAATTTTGTGATTCTGACAGAGACCCCCCATAGCCCCATTGAAGGGTTTTGGTTTAGCCACATGAACTGGCTCTTTGATACCAACACTGTTATTGATAAGGTATATCGATCTCTCTTTCTCAAACATGCAATCACTCACATATATACAGAGTGATTTGATGTTTTTAGTGTTTTTGTATCAATGGGATATTTGCAGCGCGGAGAACCAACCAATGATAGGGATTTAGAGAAGCAGCCCTTCTATAAGTTTCTTCAAAGCACCCATATTCTTCATCCAATTGCACTTGGAGTTTTTGCTATATGCTCTAGGGGGATTTCCCTTCCTTGTTTGGGGAATGGTAGGTGAGTTCTTCAATTTTCTATGTTTTGAGATTAGCCTATTTGCCTTGAATATTCCTTCTTAGGGTGTAGTGTGTGAAGCTATTGCTATTCATGGAACTCTTAACAACGTAGTTTCTTGCATGAGTTTGTCACTTCATGCTGTATAATAGAATGGAAGTATGGAATTCGATTTTCTGTAATTTTTTGTTAAAGAGAGAGAGAGAGAGAGAGAGGAAAAAGCCTTTAAGACTTTCGCTTCCAATTCACTTCACAGCACTGAGCTAGAGAGCCCACTTTCATATGACAAGTGCTTTTTGTCATTAAGTAGACAAAAACAGAAGAAAGCCATGGAAGTTGTACTCTGCCCCAAAATGAAAAGGAAAAGTGAGAAAGCATGTTACATTCTAGTTTGTGGACTAAATCACATCACAAGTTGGAAGTCTTATCCACTTGCATCTTTAATCAGGGCCAAGCCTATCTGTGCTACTATGATAAACAAATTTGACAGTTTCTTAGCAAAAAAAGAACAGTAATCTAATTCTTTGACAAAAAAGAGGCTGAGATTGTCATTTCTGTTTCTCCAGGTAGGCAAATTTTGCAGTTGGGAAACCCACTTCTGTTACATTTCATTAATTAGAATGAATGTCAAGCAACTTTGGGCTGGAGTAATTTCTATAGAATCTTATTTTTCGTTAAGTGAAAGTGTGAAACGTGTACTGAATGAGCGAAATAAGCTAATCTAGTATAAGGAGTTTGCATAGCTTAGGCATTAACGTGCTACATTTCAGGGTCTGAGAACTGTATGGATATACCATATCACTTGGTTGGTAAATTCAGCTTCCCATATCTGGGGGAAGCAAGCATGGAATACTGGTGATCTGTCCAGGAACAATTGGTACTATTAACTTGCCCTCACTAATATATACATGTAGTTCTTGTCAATTGATATGTGATCACGTGGGTAGCATTGCTTGCATTTGGAGAAGGTTGGCACAATAACCACCATCCTTTTGAATACTCAGCTCGACATGGTCTGGAATGGTGGCAGGTGGATATGACTTGGTATGTGATCAAATTCAAGTTATTGGACTGGCAACTGAGGTTAAGCTACATACTGAAGTTCATAAGCAAAGGATGGCTTTGAACAATTGAGGTGTCTATATTGGAAAGTAGTATGATACACCTTAATTTAAAGGCGGTTGATGATGAGATACTCATTTAGGTGAATGGACGACTTTCTGTGTTGAAACCATCAGGTTTCAGAACTCTAGATGTAGCCGTACTTATGATGTAATTACGGTATAATTAAACTACGCAAAAATCAATCATCTTGATCTTTCTTATTGTTCAAACTGTGGTTTTCTTTTGTAAAAAAAAAAATAATAATAAATAAAATCATTTTTACCTGAGTTAAGGTTTAATGATCAACGGATTTTTAAGATCTTATACCTTGGCACTGCAACTTTTCGCTATGGTATGTATTGTTGATACCTGTGTAAGGCGTTGTTAATCAAATATCGATTATAGGATACTTACGATTAATTCTCAACCTTAAGAGTTCATAACAGAATAAAAATTTTTTAAACCAATCAACTCCTTTTTTTTTTTCCTCTTTCATTAAAGCAATAAATACAGCAATTTCCAATGCACAAAAAATTAATATGGCTAAAATAATTTAAAAAATCCCTTAGTTTTGTCATTTTACTTAAGATAAATTTTTATATTTTTATTACATCTAAATAAACTTTTAATCTTCAAGTTTAATCCTTTACTTTTAATTTTTAATTTGTACTTAAATAAATTCTTAACATAAAATAAATCTTTTGTTTGAAATAAGAATTTTTTTAGTCATAATTCAAAAAATAAAGTTTTATTTAAATACAATAAACTATACGAGCCAATTTTATTTAAATAACGTGGAATAGTTAAGATTTTTTAATATTTTAACTAATCAATTTAAAGCATGCGGGAAAGTTTGAGCCCAGTGAGCCCAGCAATGATTGGATTTTGGGTGTCAACTGTGTAATAAGAAATTTGAGCAGGCTGGCTTCGGCTTGGGCAGCTTCCCTAAAGCCATTTATGACTTAAAGTGTTGGGCTTCAAATTGAACTCTAATCCAAACCAAGTTACCCAATTTTGGGTCATGACGCCCATACTTGCACCTTTGAAGATAGCAACTTGAGCCACCAAAGAGTGATGATTCAAACAAAATATTATTATTTGTATCAATAACATCCAGTTATAGTATTTATTGAACACACATTTTCCCATCGACAAAGGCAAATCTCCAAATTTCTTGCATCTTGTGTGCAAGACCAAAGAGCATGTAATGAAATGTTCAAAAAATATATATTTGAAAAAAAATTTAAAACTCTGCTCTTAAAAAAAAGAAAATCATACATCAATCCTTAAATAAAATACACAAATGCAAAGGTTTTTTAACGTTAATCTCAAATTTGATTTAACACAAAATTAAATACTTAAAAATTTAAAATTTAATTCAATTAATTTATATGATTATTCTTAAAAGATAACATATAACAAATTTAAAATTTAAATTTTAATACTTATAATTGAATCGTATGCCAACCTCTTATAGTATTAAAAAATTTATGGCTTTGAGACAGTCTGAGATTCAGTAGAGTTGGACAAAGGAAAGAATTATATTTATCTCGAGCAATGAGATGAGGCTCAAATGACCTCATGGCTTTTCAAGAAGATTGAAAACTGAACCAATGGAATAATAAGAGACATGATTTTCAACTTTAGGGGTCTAAACTAAGGAGGACACCCTCCCCAACATTTGGAATTTCTAAGCAAATGAAGACAAAAACAATAATCATAATATGGTTTCTTGTCAATGCGTAAAGGGTAATGGCTATAGTAAATAAGCACGGGAGCTGAAACCATGATTATATTAATATGAAGCCTATGTTAAATTTTAAGTACTCTTTATCTTAAACATTGGTATAATCGCCTTCAAAAGTGCTCCTTTTAACAAAGGTTTTAGGGTTCATTATTCAATAATCTTGTTGTATCAATCCAAAGCATACTTTTTCTCTAGCTTTCCTCTCATTCAAAAAATACCTAAATATGCACATAAGCTTTAGTTAAATTAGTTTATATAATCATTTTAAAAAATAATTTCTAATAAATTTAAAATTTAAATTTCGAACACTTATAATTTTTTTTCTTTATAAAAATGTGACATTCTTTGAAAAAATACCTAATTATGAATTTTACTTTTATTATTATTGTTATTTTTTATTTTTTATTAGAAAGGTCACAATTACTTTTAACAGGGAAACATAAAAGTTAAAAAATCATTAATCAATAAAAATACATGTGATATATATAGTAATAATTAATCTGACCAGACAGAAGCATAATAAGAGATGAAGGTTTTGCTTACGTCAACAGGAAGCATGTGGGGTATGTCGAGGTTTCTGTAAACAAATTACCATGCTTCTCCAATTAAAACTAAAATAATGCTTAAACCCATCCATCTACCTGATCCCCCTGAGTATTTTGTGCAGGCCACCCCGGTCCCTGCTGCTGCTGCTGCTTCATTCCTGATTTAGAATTTAAGAATTTCATAGAGCTGCTATAATTTACTCCATTCATCATCTCCAATGTTTATGTGTTTGCTTTTGTCCCAGAACTTCTCTAATTTACTTGACAAATTGACCCATTTTAATCCTTAAATTAGGCACTGGGGCACAAAAAAAATTATATGCCAATGTTACCAAATTTATTAAATGAATAAAAAAAATAAAGGATCAAAATCTATTTGGATGAATTATGAAATTGATTTTGATGAAATTAGGTATTGTAAAGATAAAATTAAAATCAATTATCAAAATATATGTTTAGATGTAAATATTGTGTGAGGGATAAAATTAAGTATGATAGTTAATTATTATAAATAAAAATTATTTTTTATTTTAATTTTATACTAAAATAATCGATCGCCTTATCTTTCCCTTATTGCCTCCAATTAAGAGGTAAAGGACTCAACTGTAAGATGCTAATCAAATGCAACGTAGGAAGCCTGTATCTTTAATTAATCAAGCAACTCCTTTTGAAATGTAGGAATTGAAGTGCAAAACTTTAATAGCAAAAGCAAATTAATATAGAGCAATTGGTGAGCTATACTATACAAAGGTAACCCAAGTTTCTAATCTGACAAGATTATAGGATTATGTATAGTTGATGTTGGAAGGAAAGCAAATGTAATTATATGTTCTGATACACAAAACTAATCAATATATGGTTCAAGATTCAGAACTTGGCAAGAAAGAAGGGAATACAAGAACCAGGCTTTTTAACTAGAGAAAGTGTTAAAGCACCAAAAATCATACAGTGAAAGAAACTGAGATTGATGGTCCCATAATTGCCAAGTGAGTGAAGTGAAAGAATCACACGGTCACACCTATATTTTTGTGCTTTCATTAATGAGTCATACCCCAAGCATTTACTATTACCATACTCTTTGAAAAGCCTTATCATCATTAACACTTCTTTACTTTTCAGCTCCATTTCATCATACATCAAAATTCAAAAACCAAAGCATTGCCCAGTTTGACACATGTCCAATACATCACCAAGCTTCTTGTCACAGTTTAGCCTTGTTTACCGGGCGCTTCTTTTCTGTCTCCTCCCTCGCCATACTTCAATGCATGCTCACAGCTCAGCCGACTTTAAACCTCAACAATTTTCTCGAGAAAGAAAGCAGAAAAGAAAAGAAAGTCAGTGAAAAAAGTGAAGTAGAAAAAAAAAAAAAAAAAAAAAAAGGGTCACCATGGGTCAGGGTGTGTGTTTGTTTTGGAAGCATCTGTGAAAAAGATAAGAGTAAATAAATTTATTTTATCGGTGCAAAGTTAGTGTTCATTTTTGTTTAGTTTTTGGCTATGACAGACAAGTTACCGGCTGCAGACAGTTGTCGGGTGGGAGTGAGGGAAGAAACGCCGCACTAGACTGGCAAAACAGACAGCACGCGAGGTGACTGGATACGGGGGAAAGCAGGTTAATTACCCACCTCTAAAAACCTTCCAGTTCAGTCCAGGGTGGTCTTCAAGTCTCAACTCACTTTCTTTACTGTCGAGTAATGGCCTGTAACATTAGTATGCTGGTCCCGTTAATACCCCACATTCACCTCGATTTTGACCCATTTTGCACGCCATCTCCCCCCCCCCCCGCCTTTACTCACTCTCTCTTCCACTGAGCATTGCAATTGCAAATCCCTCACCAAAATCTAGTTTAATATCTTGAATAACTGATAATTAATTGTGATTGAAAATAATTTTTGTTGTAATTAAAATTTTTAATTATGAATTTTATCTTGTTTGTCTATGTCATTGTATTTGTAGTCAAATTCAATGATTGCAATCCAATATATACAATCAATTATATAGAAAAATGAATTCTTATACTCATTTTTTTTTTCAAAAACAGCAAATCATATTCTCATATATTAGAAAACAATAATAAAGTATACTCGGACATTTTAAGGCTTAAGATGGTTTAATAGATGCCATTTATTTACAAGTTCTTGTCTTTTTTTTTTTTAATTCTTTAAGATTGTTAAATTATAAGATGATGTCTTTTTAAAGTCAATTATTTCATTTAATAATGTTGGAAAATTATGTAGATATGAATTAGGGGAGTTAAAGATAAATTAGAAATTAAAAAAAAAGCTAATATTACTATTATGAATAGTATCTCCAATAAAAATGTTCTTGTTAGGCTCATTGACAAAACTTTATTTACAATTTTTTTTGTTATGTACATTGCATGTGAATTTTTTTAAATATAAGTACAGATATTAAGTATAAAACTGAAATTTACATATTAACAAAAATATACGTGCAATCAATTATAATTAATTGAATAAACTTGAGAAATGTGAACTACATTTTAAAAATTAAAAAAAAAAACCAAAAACTAGATTTAAATTTCATGTAAAACATAAACAAACCCAAAGAGCTATTTGATTCTTTTTTAACCTTATAAACTCTAATAATATTTCAAGATATAACCCATATAAATAAATAATAAAAACACACTGAATATTTAATATCAAATTCTTTTGTTTTACTAATATTTTACTGTTTTTGGGAGTCAGCTCTTACACTTTAAATACATGTGGAACCTGAGGCTTTTTAAGTGTGAATTCCCCGCTTGAAAGAGAAAGAACACAAAACCGTAAGCCCTGGAAAGAGTGAAACCCAACAAAAAAACAAAGTCATTAACTCATATAATAAGTCGTATAAAACCCCATTTTTTTGGGTCAAATTTTTGTCATTGTCTTCGTGCGGATTCAACAATCCACTAGCCAAGACGGGTCTACCTTTGTGGATGTTGGGGTTGGGTGCGGATCGGTTGCGAGCCGACATGAACCGTTTACTCGCATTTCTCTTCCACCAGGTAATTGTCATCACTCTTCTTACGCACACTTTAATTTCTCATTTGTTTTACTTTGTTTATTTTTTTCTTTTTTTCATAAATTTGAAAAGGGAAAGAGTGATAACAATTAACAGCAGGCTGTGTCCTGAACGGCAGCTCCATTTCTTCTTTGTTTGACAACATTTTGCCACCCTTAAATTTCCAGGCTATTTTCTTGTTGGTAGTTATTTGGATAGTTTGCCGTTTCTAGTATTAAAAAAACTGATGTATTTGGTTTGATTGATTGTTCAGGGGATATTAGACGAACAATTCTTGCAACTTCAACAGCTTCAAGATGAGAGCTCTCCAAACTTTGTATCAGAAGTTGTCAACATCTACTTCCATGAGTCGGAGAAGCTTTTGAGGAACCTGAGATCATTACTGTAATTTATTAAAATCTCCTTCAAATATATTTTATCTTTTGGTTTTAAGTAATTTGATTGATTCTCTAAATTAATGGGAATTATTTCCTTTTCCTTTCTCTTCCTTGGGAGAGTGCAATAATGCGGCTGATGTGTCTGTCCCAGACTCGGACTCTTTTTCTCTCTCTCATTTGAACTTTTGAAGTTATTTAATATATGGTTAGTAGTATATAGTTAATGAATGGGAGGTGATGGGACAGGATGGATAGAGAGTTCTCGGACTACAAGAAAATGAGAATCCATTTGAATCAGTTGATGGGAAGCAGCTCTAGCATAGGTGCCAAAAGGGTCAGAAACGTGTGCGTTGCCTTTCGGGCCGCTTCTGAGCAGAACAACCGTGCTGGGTATGCATGCCCCTTTCTACCTCTACTTCTGTGCTTCCACGCCCCTCACCTCACTCTGGTTTTTTCAATGTAGTAGTACTATATATATATTTTTATACTACTAATTCTTTAAGATGATAATTCACACAAAAGTTTGAAGTTTACCTTTTTGCTTCACTGTTTCATTTTTAATCAGAAAAACAAGCCCATTACCCACATTAAGATATGCCTATATCTGCATATAGATAAGGGTTGCTAACCAGATGTTTTGGCATTTCAAATGCAGGTGCCTGAGAGCCTTGGAGGTCTTAGAACATGAGTACTGTTTCCTCAAGAACAAATTGCATGAACTTTTCCAGGTATATTTTCATTTGATTTTTCTGCATTTTTTGCTCTATAATGCCTTGTCCTTCATCATAAAAGAAAAAGCAATGTATCAGTACTAAGTACTACTAACATTTGTCACCATCATTTTCTACGATAATGATTTCAGATAGAGCAGCAGAGAGTACTAGCAGCCGGAGTTAGATACCCAATGCAGAACTAAGGCCAAAAGACTTTTAATGCCATAACATGGGGTGGTGTTCTTGGGCAACTTTCTTGCTTCAGTATTTTGCTAAAAACCAAGCAAAGCCCTAAGCAGGACTTTGTACTATTTGTAGAGGAAAAATGGAAAAAAAGGGTTGTTGCCACTGCAACCTTCTCTAACGTGGAGTCACTCATTCTTTCTTTCTTTTTTTTTTTTTTGTGTGTGTGTGTGCTGCTGATTGTAACTTTTGAATCCAAATGAATTGTAGTAGAAAGTTGGCAGCTGATATTCTGATTTCTGGTCTGAAAAATCTCTCAGCTTTAATGGCCAAATCAGTGCTTTTCTGTCGCTATTATACCGCTATGAATTGTTAAATGACGACATTATAACCATCTCCAGCCGCAAGCATCATCAAAATCAGCTCTGAAGTCTGAACTTTCAATGTCTGACTGCCAACGCTCAATCAATCAAGGACATGATTGGTTTATTGAATATAAGGATACGTCATCCAAATTCAAATATTCCAAATTGAAAACAAGAAAAAGGAAAGTGAACTCAAGTGCTTATGTTGGATCAAAACTATTAGACTATTCTATCACTATGATTATAGGAAACAAGTGGTAGTCGATTACTCAATCTTTAATCCGATTGCCATCTCTAAATTTTAAGTTCGAGAGCTTAATTTATTCATTTAAATTACAAAAATTATTAAAATATTAAAACTATTTTATATTTATTTTTATATTTTGAATATATTTTAAAACTAATATAAAATAAAAACAATTCTTTATTAATAGAATAATATGACAAACCGAACCTCCTAAAAGCATCTGTTCAAGGCCCAGATTAAGGCAAAACCCACAAGCCTAACAGGTAACCAGGCCCCTTGATAGATTTAGATGGTAATGTAAATTTCTACCTCAATAATTGTTTCAAGTGTAGCTCTGTGACTACTGTTAGTGTTAACCCCTCTAACGTACCAAAAAGATGAAGTGAAATTTACAATACTTCTAGGCATGAGTTCTGGGAAGATTTGTTTTCGTTCATGCTCTGTTCTTAATTTCCTTTCAAATACTAAATCTTGAAGATTCATAGTTATATAATTATAATCTGCATGTCTTCTTATTCGTTGGGCAGAATCTGGTGTTTGCACAAGTTGGTAAGTTTGAATTTGATGATGGCTACGTGCATCTAAGCATCTTAGATGAACATTGAAGGATGTTAAGAGTGCTGCTGGAATGAGAGGATTAAGCCACTCAGAACACTTTCTAATTACTCAATGGTCCGTAATTTTCTGGTGTTATACGATCTTGAGGAGCAGAAAATGAAGAAGGAAAATGTATCAGATGACTGCTTGCTGCATTTGAGTGCTTGTCATGAGCGTTTATCATGTTTTTTCATGTTGCTTTAGAAATTGAACTGGACCATCTGATGATACATTTCATTAGATAATTCATACATCTTGAGGATGCCACCTGTAGAAAATAATCTCATGATCTACTGTACTAGTTAACAACAATGCCATTGTCACAACTTTTTCGCGCTCAAACTTTTCTTTCTTTCGTTTCAATGTGATGTTAACGTTGTCTGACAAATTGATTTATATTGCAATATCAGAATTTAATTGCTATTACAGCAATGACCACACAAATAAACTTTATGAAAGTGGCTTTTGTTGTGAATTCTTTGGATTTTTTTTCTCATTGAATGGGTTGACAACGACCTTTACCCTTTTTCAAATGTTGAAAGGTTATTACTAACAAAAAAAAAAAAAAAAAACTATATATCGTTTCATTTTTCATGTCACTTGGTCACTATTTCAGGTCCCAGCCCACTGCTATCTTTTTCCTTACGGCATTTGTTTGCTTTGAATGTGTCTTGTTTTGTTTCAACATTGGAATTTCTAATTATATTATATAGGCCCAGATAATTAAATTCTTGAAGGCGACTTTGACCACCTAGAGAGTCATGTGGAAATTTCTCCTTTAGATAGCATACTTTGCCACTTTGCCCATTATTTTATCAAATTTCCTTGGATTTTTTATATAATTATTTTTTTATAAAATTTATTTTTTAAGTACAAAAGAAACTATAATTTGAGAATTGAAAAGGAAGTCACAAGTGATAAAATTTGAATTCTAAACTTATAAATTACATCAGATAATTATATAAATTAATCGAATTAAATTTTATAATTTTTTTAACAAAATATTTGACTACAAGATTAGAAGTTTAGTTCTTTTTTATTAGTAAAACTTATGTCATTTATCTCAATATTTGAAATTACAACTTTTGATTGAAATCTTAAGATCATCTAACAACGGGATACTGGATAGTTATATATATTTTTAGTTGGGAAATGAAGAATTTGAGTTTTTTAAAATAGAGATCATGCATTAATCAATAAATTAAATTTTCAATAGTTATAATTATATTGTCTAGAATGCCTTTGCTTTCATGCATTTCCAACCTTACAACTAACTTTGAACTAGAATATAGTTTGGTGGCTCTGAGCCTTTGACTCCTCTTCAAATTTTTTTTTTTTTTTTTTTTTGTGAAAAGCTCTTCAATAAATTCTTAATTTACTATTTTCGGTACATTCTTACAAATAAAAACAGTAATGATGGCATTGGGAGATAACAAACAAAAAAAAAAAATGGAGGGCATTTTTACAATTAATTTTTACATCATTGGGAGTTCTTTTTCTTTTTTCTTTAAATTTTGAAATGTATAAATTGTTGAGAAATTTTATGAATTTTTTTTCAATTGATTTGGAATTATAAACTATTTTGTAACAATTTAGGCAAAAAGAAAGGAAATATAAAAAGCACAAAAAAGGGAAAATGAGAAAAAGAAATCCTATTTTTCCCTTTAATTTCTTTTTCAAGTAAACCCCCCTACCCATTTATATTTTTGTAACATTTTTTATTTATTTTAAACTACAAAACATTATTTATTTTAAACTACAAAACATTCTTAAAATATTTAGATGTAAAAAAAGAAAAGTAAATTAAAGGATGAAATAATAATATACTAAGTAATAAATTACATATTTGTTGAGTTTAGGGTTTAATTCATAATATCAAAAAGTAAATAGCTTAAAAAGGAAATGGATTTTTAAAAGAGAGTTTAGAAATTTGATGAAATAGAAAAAGAAAATTACAAAGATAAAAAAAATACATATATTTATCATATATTTATTATATTAATATGATATCAAGTCCCATTAGGAAAAATAGCATAATTTATAAATGAATTTTGTTAACGATTATTTGAAGAACTTTTTTTTAAAGATTACTATATAATAGATAATATATATTTTTAAAACCATTGAATTCATCAAATCAACTACAAATCTAACATTAAAGAATGTTCTTAAGATAATTGTTTGCAAAATTCTTTATAAATACATCTGATGTATAAAATACTTCATTTGTCTCATTTTCTTTATCCATATTTTCCCTTTGGGATATCCCAAAATTTATCCTATTTTATTTTTTATATTTTACAATTATATTTTATGATTTTTTTTATTGTTTGACATTAAAAATCATAAAATTTTAATTTTTTAAAAAAATTTTAAAATTTAATATTAAATACATTAAAATAAAATTTTTTCTTAAACTTGGTGAAAATCAATACATGACAAACACTTTAAAACGAAGGAACTAATTAATTGTGTTTACTCTACACAATATCTAAAAATAAATATTATTAATTACAACATTTAAAATTGATAAAGAAGAAAATGATAAAAACTTTTATTATAATAACTTGTGTTTTACAATGAAACTCAAGACCTATTTTTACAAAAGTACAATGTTACAAAATAAGAAATAAAATAAATAAAAATAATAATTAAATTAATTCCTACAATTAGTTAAATCAATATATACTATTATCTAAATCAATATCAAATTAATTTAGATTATTACTGGAATATTACTATAATAATATCATTGAAATTAATCTAAAATATTATCAAAATATTACTAAAACACCATTGACACCCTTTTGCAAACTCAAAATGGTAATGTAGAGGCCAACTTGAGCTTGGAAAATTGGACAAAAAATTGACCAGGCAAATGTGTTTGTGAAGATATCTTCTTTGTTATTAGTACTGGTAATAGGAACAAGTCGAAGAGTTTGAGCGAGCAAATGGTAAAGAATAAAGTGGCGGTCAATTTTAATATGTTTAGTACACTTATGAAAAATATCATTGTAAACTATTTGAATGATACTTTGATTATCACAAAATATAAAAGCACTATAGTGATGAGAAACATCCATATCCTGAAATAGCTATCATAACAATAAAAGTTCTGATGTAGTATATATAAAAGCTCGATACTCACATTCAGTGCTAAAGTGGGACACTACAGTTTGTTTCTTATTTTGTCAAGAAATAAAAGAAGAACCAAGTGTCATAACATATAAATCTAGAGATCTATCGCTAGACATTGACTTTAGAAGTCGTCATCAATCTTTTTTGTTTGGGTACAATTGGCCATATAAGGAATCTATCCTTTTAAGAAGCTCCTAAACTTGATTAAGGGTCCCTAAAAGAATAGATTCGGGTTTGCAAATCAGAACAGATTTCGGGAGTTCAGTTACATGTGAGAAAGGTTATAGCACCCCCACAACGCCTAACGAAAGATGGTACCAGCTTAATTTCGTGTTATTCAATAAGCTTTAAAAATTTTATCAAGTAATTAATTATTAAAAATTATTCTTAATTAACTCCAATACTTTTAGCAAAAAATTAAGAAAATTTTTTTATCTCAAGAGTATACAAGAAAACTATTGTTTCTCTTATAAAGGCTCCGTCGTCAGATTATTTAACATTATTATTTTTTTAAAAGTGAAGCATAATGATTAATATATATTTTTTTCAAAAAAAAATCATGCTTTTATACAAGGAAAATTGATACTTTCAACTTTTCCTTAAAGATGTTTTTCTTGATAATTTTTATTTTTAAGGGAAATTGGTACTTCCAACTTTTTCTCAAAAATATTTT